AGACCTACTACGGGATCAAAAAAACCTAATATCTAAAGCTCTGGACATTTTATTTATTCAAAAGACGTTACACTTGCCCTATTTCATCTCTTGTAATGTAAAGACTAAGGGCCCAACCAGCTTTTAACAAGGTTATACAAGATATTGACTAACATATAAAAATGCTTGCCTTCATAAAAAACATCCTTGTATAAGAAAATAACATTTTTTTACTCATAGACATTCACAGATTTATCTATATTATTACCTTGTTAGAATTTTTTTTGGCCGAGTGTGACTTACAATTTAAATGATGATTTTTATATCCATTAGACTGAAACACAATGAAAGTTAACTAATACTTGTATCTTTCTCTAATCTTTACATATCTATAGTGTTCAAATCTGAAAACAAAAACAATTCTTTCTCATAAAGTGTATAAAGCCATATATCTACTGTCTGTAATATACAAAATTATTGTCTTAATTTTGAAAAAGAATCATTCCAAAATACCCGAAAGAAATACATTTGTATACTTCTTATTGAGTGAATGCTGCAAAACCATCACTAAACAACTAAAGCCATATTTAATACAGCAGTATAAAACTTTATGGATCTTTTTATTCTGTTTCGTACAATATTCTTGTCAAATATTCAAATAACAGTGACATTCTGTGCTAAGAAATAATATCAATTGATAATATCTACTCCAAAAGTAAAGCATTTGACAGATAATGTAAAAATTTAACAAGTGCAAATATCGTGGCTTATTAGAAAGTTTTTCTCGTGAAGTTTTAGTTACTTCAACACTGTCAAGATCATGTGGCAAATTTTTCAGAGTTTTGACAGTTGGAGAAAGTACTTGGGTATGGATCCTCATTAAATTTTTACAAAGAATATCAGTCCCTTTTTGGAAAACCCAACCTTTGTTTCGCTAAAATTATACCCTGAATGCAAGTCCTGACAGAAATTTTCAAACTGACATCAAATGGAAATTGACTCCGCTTTCAGTGCCCCCAAAACAATGCAGCCCCTGGGGCCCCAAATACAGAACTTTTTTTAATAAAACGGGTCTAAAACAGCATCAGAAATTTTTTAACCTATCAAAAAAATTTCTGCTGTTTGTTTTTTGAAATTTTGCTGAGGGTTTTAAAAAACTTTAAAAAATTTCCACTTTTCTCGGAACCAATTTCCCATTACTGATTGTTAGAGACAATTCATCGACTGTTTTTGCCTTCTGTGACTTCGACATGTGACTCCTGTAACAATATGACAACCTGTATACATATCTTCAATTATTATTGCAACATATAGAAGACAGTTTTATCAAGTTGGGTTCTTGAATATACAAAACAAGAGCTGTCACAGCAAACACCTTGCATCACTTTATTTTAATATCAAGACTGAAACTTTTCATTTTAAGAATTAAATTTCTTAAAAAGACTTTTGAAATTTTTTGTGTGAAAATCATCAGAAGAATTTGAAGTAAGAAAATATTGTAAGTACTGCAACATTAGAATCAAACAGTGTCATGGAAGGAGATAAAGCCAACTTTAAAAATAAACCCTTCAGGAGATTTTTTTTCTTTTGAAAAAAGAAGGCTATAAGCTACAAGCTTATAATTAGCAAGCAAAATTTTAAAAGAAGAAATAGAAAGAAAGAAGAAATATATAAATATTCATAATCCAGCTTTAGTTTATGCAAAATATGACTGAATTTAAAATTTCTAATATCATAACTATATTCTGTTACTTGTAAAAGACTATTCATGCATATTTTGATGCATTATACTCAGAACATGTATGTAATTTCTGAAAATAACAGCTTTTTCACCAAAATTAAAAATTTTAATTTTTTAAATTTTTTTAAATTTTTTAAATAAAAAAAATTTAAAATAACACATAAAAAATTTTTGTTTATAAATAAATAAACCCCTTTTTTTTGAAAAGGCGTTTTTTTCAATCTTCGTGACTGACATTAAAGGGACGGTTTTTATTGTAAACGGTGAATCCCTCGGGCCCCCCATAAAAAATCTGGTGACCAGTTTTTTATCGGGACTGGGTTTAAACTGGAGTACTTCTACTCTTTTTGAAAAAATTTATCATAAATCACCCTTCACACATCTTCCCGACCAATTACTTTTGCATAAATAGACTAAAATTTAAACAAGTTGAAAAATTTTCAGGAAATTTAAATTTTCAGTCTAAAATTAATTACAAAATGTATGAAAAACTAAAAAAGGTTTTACTTTGGTCTTTAAAAAAATAGGGTTTTGGAAAAAATGAGGGAAGATACCTTTTAAAATAGAACAAACTGCCCTTTACAAGGTTCTGAGCAATTACAAAAGTTAAAAAATTTTAAAAACGGTGTTTTTCCCCCAGTTTACCGGAAAAGGGAAACCCCTTTAATTTTTAAGTTAGAATTTAGATCCCCTCATGCATACATTTAATTTTTTAAAAACTTGAAATAAGTTAATAATATTTTTAATTTTAAAAATACAACAATCATTATTCTCAAATTTTTTAATAAAAAACTTATTGGGTTTTGAAGGGGGCCCACCCCAAACAACATGTCATCCCTAAAATAAAATTTGATCCCGATCCACAAATTAACTATTTAAGGAAAAACTGGGGTTTTTTATTTTTGGGGCCTGTTTTTCTAAATAAAGAAAATGAAGCCCCCTTTTGGCCCTTCCCCCAAACCAGTAAAGCTTGCCATTACCATATCATTATTAAACTGACCTTAACAGTGTTGCCCAGTGTGACATAAAAACTAATAAGGGTAACTCTTTATGCACCCCTACAAACCTCTCCCCATTTTATGGCAAACACATAAAGATCCTATTTTTAACTATTTCTCTGTTTACATGGGGCCTACACGAGTTAGTAATTTGCTCAACTCTATAAAGTAAATTTCATTTAAGAAACATACCTATATAACCATTTAGATTTGGATTCGGAGTCCTGCATACAGACAGCTGTTTAGTTCAAAACACAAAAGCAATAGCGCGGCGTCAGCCTCGAGGTACATACTTCATTACCACCTTCGAACTTGTTCTCATGTGTGTTGATCCTGTCATCTGTTCTGTATTACCCTCATTATCTATTTCATATGTACTGAAACATAAAAATCTGGTTGAAACATTTGACTCAAATATTGATTTACAAACAGTCTGGTCTTTGCCCTACTTCTCCCAACCTATGAGAAGGTCTAATTATGAAAATTTCTGTCAGTCAATTTCCTGTCAACTGTCTTTAGTCAAGAAACTATTTATCCATTCGTCAAGTTCATATACAGTCACAATTTCAGATTTTTCAAAAATACTTAAACAATTACTAGTTAACTTTAGTTTCAACAAATACTATATTTATTAATTTTTGTGTGCTTTAAACAATGTGTCCTATAACCCATTCCTTCATAGAGATATGCTAATTGTTGCACTATATTCCCATAGATAAGAAGGTATTTTCCTGCACCATTCCAAGACTGATAAGCCACACAATAAAGAACAATAAAATAATTACACATATGTATTATTTCATAGGCAATTTTGTTCTAATTGATCATTTATGTAAAAGCCTGTATTTATAGAGCATGAAATTCCCTTTATTCTAATATAAAAATCACTTTACTAAAATATGTCGGTTTTTATGAAAATTGCGGGTAAAGTAAAAAGTCAAAATAAAGAAAAAAATAATTTCCTTTGTAAAAAGTCAAGTAAATCAAAATCATCCTCACTTTTCTCTTACTGCTGGAAGCTTAAACCCCCCATTTATAAACATTCAGAAGCACGGGCCCGGGAAAAAGTAAAAAATTTAAAAACCCCAATTATCAATTTTCATCCAGAAAAAATAATACTTTACTTTAAAAGACTGCACCGTTATTTTTTTACATTGCTCCCAAAGCTGCCTTCATTTGACTTACCAATTTTATTATGAACCATTTTGGATTTACAGTAAGAGTTAACTCTGAAAACACAAATTTTAATCATACAAATTTTTTAAAAATAATTTGTTTTTTCATCTGCTTGGATTAAAATTTGGACAACGTTAGAACCAGACTTTCATTAATTTGTAAATCCCCTTTTCACAAATAATTCTTGTGCATTATTTGATAAAACAATTATTTTGATATCATTCTCCCTTAAAATGACAAAAAACTAGAATAGTCTTTAAATTAGAATTTTCAGGGCAAAACATCGATTAAACTGACCTATATCGCTACCTGAGAACTTGTACGACTTATTTTGCAAAAGACAAACAAATAATTCATGAAATTCATCACTCAAAACAATATAAATCCAACATTTTAGGTACAATGTCTGTTATTGAATAAATATACCGTTATTCATAATTGCAAAGCCATGTTTTCAATTAAAAATAGCATTTGGGTCACGGATCACCAAATGTCATGCAAAGGTATCCGAACCTATATTCTCGCTAGTCACATGATAATTTGGGCAGCAATGGCGGTGAATTTTATGAAATGTGAACCCACTGATAAACTTTGAGGCATTATTTCAACAATCTAACGTTCTCTGTTCAAAAATATAGACTGAAGTGTCCCAAGTATATCTATCTACCTGTATTAAAATAGCTTTTGTCCAGATCACGCAAATTTATTGAATTACAGCATGACATAAAAATGTCACAGATCTGGTTGACTTTCGAAATGGGATTGGCATCAGCGAATATGTCTAGCAGTACTATAAAACCTGTTCACTGAAGTCTCTTTAGCTAGTCCAAACACTGTCACTGACTGATACTGCCACCTGTGGCCAGAACTAATTTCTAAATTTGGTCTCTAAAAATGTTAATAGTGCAAGAAGACAAATTCTATCTCTATATTTATCTTCTATTCATATCGGTTAATTTTTAAACAATTCTGAAATTGAATGGCTTTCACTATGAATGCACAAATGACCAGTGCATCATGGTAGATCTAATTGAAGAAAATAGTAGAGTAAATTTTACTACAAATGACTTGTTCACCTTATTCAAACACGTGAGTCACCATTTTGGGTACTTTAAAACAATATTTACCTAGTGAATGGTGCGTCTGACAGCATTGTCTTATAAACGTCGTGAATCTAGATGATATAAATCATAATCATTGTGAGCTGGCAGTGAAATAATGCAAATTCTAAATTAATAAAATAAATGTGGCGTCAACGTGGATCCCATGCGTGCTACGTCATAGATGCCTTGCCTTCCTAAACGCGAATTTGATTGGCTTTTGACTTTGGTACAGTTACAACAAATACTCTGATTGGCCGAAATATCTCTGTATACGGATATCTACGGTGTTTATACAAAAATGCCGGTGAGAAACGATATTACCGAAGTTTCGCTTCAAACGGAATTATTTGAACACCATTGCTATTGAAACATAATCTATAGCCTGTGTAGGTCCTATTTATCATGCTGAAAACAGATGCTCAACCTGCCACTCTCAGTCTTAACAAACAAGCTGCAATATTATGTACAAGTTGATGCCACATGAGTAGTCTCCCTTCGCTTAATTTGCATAAACTTGTTTACAAATGGCGACCAAGTAACGAGAAATTAACGAACGAATAGCAGATATTATTGGTTTTGTCGCCTTTTAAATGTGACACCAATTTATGTTTTACTTAACAATCTGTTGTTTGTTTCCCTTATATGGTATAGTTACATACTTTTCAACATTTATTTTTTATTGTAAAATTTAAATAACATTTTTATGGATTTATCGAAAATTATCTTGGGTAATTGGATTGATATGTACTGTACATGATAGATATAGCAATCTTGCTCAATCAGAATCCAACACATTAGGCGTTATAGCCAGCTCGAAAAGGTTGCCAGAAGGGCCTGCTCTCAAATCGAGCATTACGGTAACGCCAGTACCTGCTAGATTGTGATCGTTTTAAAAACTTTCGTCCGAAGCACTGAATTGACACGTCAATTAATTCAAGATAACGATAAAAACCAAGATATTCTGATTGAAAATGGAAGTGTAGACTTGTGTCCTCCGCATTTATACTTCATAGTACTCCCCGCAGGTACCACGTCCATGCTCATTCTGGTGAAATCAGAAAATGTGTACTTTTACACACTGAACACTACCAACCAACTGTTTCCACCATTAAAGTGGAAGTGGTTCTTTTTGAATTTTAGAAATATTTTCATTTTCAATAAATTTCTGAAAGGAATAAATCGAGCACACCCATGTCAACATAAGAAAAATTTCGTGCGGAGAAAAAATGTTTCAAAAATGCATACAAACATTACAAACTAAATGCATTTAGTAAGTTGTTTAAAGTGAATACCGTGTCTCTTTGTACAAACATCTATACACTCCAGTTATATGACAAACTAGTAACTTTGACCAAAAAAGTGCACAAAGCCACCCCACCCACGCACCCCACCCACTACGTGCTGTTCTAAAAAAAAGTAAAAAGATCGAATTAAAAATTAAATTGAATCATTACAATGCCTTTAAACAAAATGACAACAAGGAGAGAATCTACCACAGCAACATTTGATCATGAAATAAGCTCAAAAAAAGATAAAGAAAGCGATAAGAAAAAGCAGAAAGAGAAAGGTCAACAATCAGAACATTATGAAAATGATTTTGATCAATTTAAATCAGAAATAAAAGAAATGTTTAATGAGTTTGACAAAAAGATTTGTGATAGAATGAATACTCTAGAACAAAAATTTACAAATGTGTTCGACATTTTGAAAAGAGAAATGAGCGAAATGAAAAAAGAGGTGGGTGGGGCTAAACAAGATGTGATAGAAATGAAAAGAAAAATAAATGATTTTGAAACATGCCTAGAATATCAGAGCAAGGAACTGGAAAACAAAAAAATGGAAGATGTGTCTAAGATGAAGAGCATGTCTGAAAAAATTGATGAAATGGACAAAAAATTGCTACTCTTAGAAAAACAAGACAGAAAATATAACCTGCTTTTTTATGGTTTCCCTGAGGAACAAAATGAAAATATTGAAAGAAAAATGAAGTCCTTTTTTATACACAAACTGGAACTTGAAGAAGGCACTGTACAAAATATATCCTTCACACACCTACACAGGGTCCCAAATGAAGGAAATGGTCCAAACCCAATCATTGTGAGATTTTTGTCCTTTGGTGATAGGGACCTGGTCCTCTCAAAGTCTTTACTTCCTGTGCTGAGGCAAGAAAGGAAAAGAATCCTTACAGACCTACCTGTGATAATGAAGAGAGAAAGGGGAAGACTTGCAAAAATTGCTTATACTATAAGACAAAGTGAAAAACTAAAAACAAGAATACAAGAAAGAGGCTTGGATGTCTATCTGCAAGTTAGAAAAGGAAAAGAGGACATGTGGGTAACAAGAAAAGTCTAATAAAATGCATCAAATAAAGACAGTGTACAGTGTCTATGTGTAATTAAATATGGAAAAAATAACAATTCATAAATAGTAAATAACAAATCATAAATAGTAAGAAAGTAACATTTATATAACAACATTGTTTGTTACAGTACAACAACAGAACTTTTCAATGTGTTTTACAAGTTATTCCAGTAACCTAACATCAGTAATGATTTTTTTTTTTTTTGATTTTTTTTTTGCTTTTAATATTCATAAAATTTGTTTGTTTGATTTACATTTCCAGGAAATCAACATAGACAATATAAACAAAGTCATTACTGTATAATATGCATACATCATCTAAAGATACATATATGTGTGTAATTTTTTTATTTTTTTTTTTTTACTGCATTCTCAAAAAGAGAGAGAGATTTATCTAAATATACATGTATATTGTTTCAACACAATACCTAATCTAGGTGATAAATAATAAAGGATCTATACGTTTATATAATTACAAAACAGAGTGTTAAAAAGTAAATACCTTTTTTGTCCTTGCAAATTTATTCCAAGCTTAAATTAAATATTATCTAAAAATTTCTTCTTTTTTAATTTGCAATATTATTATGTGTTAAACATCTATATATATTCTCCCCATGTATAGCACACTACTGTTTATAAACACACACACAAGATACATGTATTATATGGTAAATCAGCTGTTTACCTCCACGTGGTATCTATTTTTAACGAAGAGAAAAACCAAAATTTGACATGATATTGTCTATATTTAGAAAGTTATTTATATCGTGTGTATAGGTACTCGTATTTGTAAATATTTTGCTATGTTTTGAACACATAATTTATAATGTTAGATAAATTAAATAATATATTGTTTACTTAGATCTACATATAAGTTTAAATGACAGGATGTATATGAAATTTGTTTACCATGTTTTATACATGTACATTGTTTTTGTCGCTAGAACGGTATTTGTAGTATTTTGGGGGTATTTTTTTGTTGTTTTTTGTTTTGTTTTTTTGTATAGGTATGTAAAAGATATGTGTAGTCTTATTTGTTATGTCCGTTCGTTTGTTTGTTTGTAAGTTTGTATAAAGATTTTCTTTAAATGAAACTTGAAACTATTTTCTCCGTCATCTCAATAATATAATAGAAAATGCCGCCTAGTAATAGTTTATATAACGGCCGTCAAATTTTAAGTTACTTATTTTATTTAGGTTGTTTAATAGAAAATTGTGTTTTTCTTTTACCCAATAGGTGATGATTTAACCATATACTCTCAAAATTGTCAAGGGCTGGGAAATACTCAGAAACGTCGCGATATCTTTCATTATCTTAGGAAAAAAGATTATAATATTATATGTCTGCAGGATGTTCACATTGAAGAAAAGTTATGTTCCTTTGTTAAAAATGAATGGGGATATGATGCCTATTTTAGCCCATATAAACGTAATAGTAGAGGGGTAATGATTTTGTTTAGAAATAATTTTGAGCAAAAAGTAGAAATATATATACAGTGACGAAAATGGAAATTATCTTATTCTTGACATGTTAATGCCGAACTTCAGACTTACTCTCGTTAATTTATATGGTCCAAATGATGATAAACCGGCTTTTTTATGAAAAATATTAAACAAAAAATATTTGAAATTGGTAATGATAACGTGATAATTTGCGGAGATTGGAATCTTGTTATTAATCCTTCAGTAGATTATGAAAATTACACAAATATTAATAACCCTCGTGCAAGACAGAGTATTTTAGAGCTAATGAACAATTACAATTATGTAGACGTCTGGCGTGTTTTAAATGGCAATAAAAGAGAATATACTTGGAAAAGAAAAAATCCGACAAGAAAGCAAGCACGGTTAGATTTTTTTCTTGTAAATGAGGATATGATGAATTATGTAACTAATTGTAAAATAACTACAGGTTATAGAACAGACCATTCAGGTGTTTTGTTAACAATTAAATTATTTGAAAATGAAAGGGGAAAAGGCTATTGGAAATTTAATTGCTCTCTTTTGACCGAAAACTCATATATTGATCTAGTTAAGAATACATTACATAATTTAGTAGATTTACATAAAACAGAAAATAACACTGAAGATAATTATACAGATCCAGATTTAGATATTAACCCCCAACTTTTTCTTGAAACATTTTTGGTCGTTCTTAGAGGCGAAACAATAAAATATAGTGCAGAAAGAAAAAAACGATTAGAAAAAACTAGAAAAAAGATTTAGAAATAAATATTCAAGCATTAGAAAAACAAATATCCGAAAATCTCAATTCTTCGAGTGAGGAAACTTGGGCGGCACTTAATGAAAAGAAATCTCAGCTAGAAGCGTTACGGAAATCAAAGTTAGAAGGAGTGATGTTAAGATCGAAATGCCGTTATGAAAATTTAGGAGAAAAACCTAGTAGTTATTTTTTTAAATCTTGAAAACAGAAATTTTACAAATAAATTAATAACAAAACTGATTACGGAAAACAATGAAGAAATAAGAAATACGAAAGATATACTCAATTTTCAAAAAAGATTATTACGAAAAAATTATATACAGAAAATTCAAATATAGATGAAACTCCTATAAAAGACATTATAGGGGAAAATGAAAATAAATTAACTGAACTTGATTCTCAAATGTTAGAGGGCGAATTGACAATTGATGAGTTAAATATTGCTTTAAGCAACATGAAAAATGGTAAAAGTCCAGGTTTAGACGGATATACAGTTGAATTTTTTTAAATTTTTCTGGAAAGATCTCTCAATTTTTGTTTTAAAAGCTCTTAACTTTGGCTACTTTAATGATAGTTTATCTGGCACTCAGAAACAAGGAGTTATAACGTGTCTGCCTAAACCGAATAAAAGTAGATTTTTTATGAAGAATTGGCGCCCAATAACACTTTTAAATGTAATTTATAAAATGGCTTCTGCTGCTATAGCAAACAGACTGAAAAGAGTTTTAAACAACATTATTTGCCAAGATCAAAAAGGGTTTATCTCAGGAAGGTGTATAAGTGAAAATATCAGATTGATATATGATATTTTTTTTTGAAACTAAACAGAACGATATACCAGGTCTTTTACTATCTATAGATTTTCAGCAAGCTTTCGATTCAGTTTCTTGGAAGTTTATTCAGAAAACTTTAGATTATTTTAATGTTGGTCCCTCTTTCAAAAAATGGATAAATCTATTCCAAAATGGGTCAGAAACCTGTATCATACAAAATGGTCATTTATCAGATTTCTTTAAAGTTAAACGTGGTTGTTAGAAGGGAGATCCAATTTCACACCGTATATCTTAATATCTTATGTGCGGAAAAGTTTTTTTTTTTTTTGGGTTTTTCAATGATTAGGGGAAAAATAAATAATATTACTGGCATATCGATTTACAATAAAGAAATAAGTTAAGGTCAGTATGCAGATGGACACACAAACTGTTTTTTGATGGAACTGAAAAAATTCAATTAGAAAAAATTGCCTAAACACGCTTTGATAATTTTTATGCTATTTTTCTGGTTTAAAGAATAAATACTGAAAAAACAAGGGCCATTTTGGAATAGGGTCGAGAAGAAATTTCAAATATTAAATTTATGGCGACCAGATTGAATTAGACTGGTCTCCAAACTCACCCCAATAAAAAATTAGGAGTAGTTTTGTTTTTTTTTTTTATATTTTCCTGCAGACGTTGAGGACATTTGGGACTTAAACCGCGACCGAAAATTTTTAGAAATGTTTAAAAAAAAATTTAAAAAATGGGATGTCCCAAGGGGTTATTTTAAATCTTTTTGGAAGAGTCCCCAATTATTTAAAACTTTATTATTTTTAAAATTTTGTACAAATTTGTTTTGTCATTGCCAAAACCTTCAGAAGATTTTAAATTTAAAAAAATAGAAAGAAATTTTTTTATTTCCCCGGTTTTTTTGGAAAAAAAGGGGCCCCGGGAAAAAATTAAAAGATTTAGTTATAGATAAAATTAGAGGCAGGTGGTTTTTTAAAAAGTTAAATGTTGAGCCTTTTTTGAACCCCGTTTTTAAATTTTAAGGTTTGGATCAAACGTCTATTTGGGAAAGAAAATGGCCCAACTTGGGTTACCCCTTCTCCCGGTTTGAATTTTAACCAAAAATGGTAAAAATTGGGCCGGGGTTTTTGCATCAGTTATATCTGAAGAACTTTCAAAATATTTTCTGGAAACAAGTGTTGAAAACATGGACTTACTTTTGCAAAAAAGTGAACATAGAAAGTATCGAAGATATATTATATTCACCATTATGGTTTAACACTAGATTCCGTAACACTAATTTATTTTTTAACAATTGGATACATCACAATATAATATCTATTATTGATTTATATGACAATGACGGTAATATTTACAGTATTCAAAAATTGAAAGATATATATAAGATAAGAGGCACATTTTTAGATATTTCAACAAGTCATTGAGTCCATCCCTTTTTATGGAGAGAAAAAATTTAGGAACAGTAAAAAAGATAAAGTATTCTTATACAAGCAAACATTTCATTAAATCCCTATCTTAAATGTGTTATACAAAACAGTAAGGTTGCAGATTCTTTTATGATATCCTTATTGACGCTGACAATTTAGTTGTTTCCTAACAAATGGGTAAATTCTGTAGGACCTATATCACAGAAGGAGTTTTTAAATTATTGTACAAGCTTAAATACTGTGAAAGAAATAAAGTTGAAAGATTTCAATATAAGATTAATCAAAAAATTCTTGTGACAAATACATTTTTACATCGAATAGATATTAGAGATAATGAGTTATGCTCATATTGTAACATTGATAGAGAAACGATTGAACATTTATTCTATCAATGCCCGTATACCAATATTTTTCTTTTAGAATTGAAAGACTGGCTTAGAGATAAGTGTTTTGTCGAATTTGATATTTCAGACATGAAAGGCATACTGTTCTCGTATTATGGAAAACATTCTATTTTGAATTTTGTAACATTATTAGCAAAATACTATGTTTATAAAACAAAATTTAGAGAAAACTGTCAAAATTACTTAAATATAAATATGTTTTTAATATACTTAAAAATGAAATTAAAAAATCAAGAATACATAGCTTTTTTAAATGGAGATGTAATTTCTTTTCATAATTTGTGGCAAAATATTATTCAAAAATTATCCCTTGATAATGAGTAACCTTATATTTTATATCAGAATACCGATAAGGAAATTATAACAACATAAAAGATTTTTAAAATATAATCAGACAACCTAAATGAGAAACGTACATACAGGCCTCTATACGAACAAATGTTGTTGTTTTTTTTTTGTTTGTTTTCAATGTGAATTTACATTAATATATATCTTTTCTCATATATAAGTTAGAAACAAATACTTATGTGTACTTGATTATATCTATTATATCTATTAATCTTGTTGCATTATTATGTAACACGTCATAATTCTATAGCCCATGCATGAATTATTATAATTTACAATTTACATAATTATGTTGTCCTTGTCATATTGTGTATATATTGTTTGTTAGAAAACTTGTAAGGTAAAATAGCGGATGGATCCCCGACCCTATTTTACCGATGACGGGGACAATAAACGAAGTAACCTGTTGGGCTTAAAAAAAAAAAAAAAAAAAAAAAAAAAAAAAAAAAAAAAAAAAAAAAAAAAAAAAAAAAAAAAAAAGTTTATTAGAAAAAGAAAAAAAAAAAAAAAAAAAAAAAAAATAAATTTCTGTCATTGATAGGAAAATCCAAAGCTGCCCGCGTATGTTGAAAATACTTCTTTATTGTACCCCATATTTATATACCAGTTTAACTGATAATTTCATGTTCTGACAAGTGAAGGTGGTCTGCTGAAACTGTAGTGACATCATATTCTGTTGAAAACAATTATACTAGACCGAATAAGGGCTATCAATTTACATACCACGGTATCATAATGCTCTCCTTTTAAGCTCCCTTTCAAAACATGGCGGCCTGATCATAGATGTTTGTAATTTAAATCTTTGAGTTGTTCTATGAATGACATGTGTATTTTAATGTCAAAATGTGACAGTTAAACACAATTTAATAAAATAGTGAATACAAGATCTTTGGGAATTGCATGGAGGTAAATTATCACCACTTTGTGCTTCAAAATTAACTCTTTAAGGGCATGACTGGTGACATGTCCGGGGTCTGTACTCGACAGCGAAAGCTGCTTTTTTTGTGCTTACGGGCGGATGGACCCTCATTTAGCATAGAGGAATCCTGCCAACTATAGACCTATATCCCTCAGTTTGGATTATTAGATTAAAGTGTATCATACTAGCACTGTTAAAATGCTTAGGGTTCATGGCTAAACATGTAGTTACATAATTTTACACAAAGTATGTTTCTTTTCTGTCAAACCCCTTGTGGGGATATAGACACTCATTATTTTCTGCTGGCTAAAATTTTGCAATGAAGTCTGAGGTTTCAGCTTGGACATAAATATAGAATGAGACAAGCAAAGAGTTGGTGCCATGTCAAATGAAATACATATGAATAATTCCAATGTATTGTCAGTATTTGTTATTCAAAATACATGTAGATATATTGAATGTTGAGAGATGGTTAAATATAATTTTACATTGCATTTTAAAAAAAAGTATGTAATTAACCATTCTAAATTTTTATCTGTAAATAACAGAATGTTTGAATTATTTTTTTTTAGGTATGTGTTTTAGTATATCATGTAAAAGAATTTCTAATTACAGAGACAGATTGAAAAAGTAGGATGTCTTTGAGAACAAAGATTAACGGGTTCACAGCGTGGGTGAATCTACGCCTAACCCCCTATAATCAGCTGCTCAACAATGTTTTGATGGATCTACTGACAGGGACACACATGAAATACCTGTTAGAGAGTTTTACAGGAAGTCACCTGAAAGGTCTTGAAAACTTGGATGGGTTAGTGTTGAACTGTGCATTAAATATTAAAATGAGAAGATTGAAAATCAATAGTTAATATTGCCTGAATAAGACCAGGACCAATTATTTTTGAAGTTTTTATATAAATATTTTAAAACAAATTTATTTTCAAGAATAATTTCTTTAAATTTCTTTTTTATTTTCATTTTCCTGATCTTTAAAGTTAAGTTAATAAATAAATTACTATGGAAGCTTTTTTTATGCCCCCTGGAATATAGTGATTGAACCGTCCGTCCGTCTGTCCGTACGAGGTTAACCTAGAACGGCAAGTTGGATTTTTCTTAAGTTCTACCTGTACCAATGGCTTCTAAGTTTACACACTTACTAATCAATACAAAGTACATGATCTGGGCAAGTTTCATAACTCTGGCTTTCATATTTACCAAGTTATTGCCCTTTTCAGCACTTAGAAAATGAATAATGGTTAACCTAAAACGGCAAGTTGGAAATATCTTGTCCATACTAATGGCTTTATAATTTCCACACTTACTTATCAATACAAAGTACATGATATTGCCAAGTTATATAACTGTGTCATCCATATTTCCCAGTTATTCCCCTTTTTAGCTCGACTTTTCTATGAAAAGGGGAGCTATCCTACTCGCCCCGGCGTCGGCGTCGGCGTTAGCGTTGGCGTCACACCTTGGTTAAGTTTTTCGTACCACCCCACTTTATTTCAGAAGTATTACAAGTATGGCTTTGAAACTTACCATACTTGTTCACCATCATAACCTCCATCTACAGACAAGAGTACATAACTCTGTCAAGGTTTTTGACAGAATTATGGCCCTTTTTTGACTTAGAAAGTGTATTGAGCTTGGTTAAGTTTTTTGTACCACCTCACTTTATTTCAAAACCATTGGAGGTATTGCTTTGAAACTGACCATACTTGTTTACCATCACGACCTTCATCAACAGACAAGAGGACATAACTGTGTCAAGGTTTTTGACAGAATTATGCCCCTTTTTGACTTAGAAAATACATTGAATATGGGTAAAATCCACTTATTGCCTTAACCCTTTGAGATATTGCTTTGAAACTTTTAATGCTATTTCACATCATTACCCCCATCTGTACGCAAGAGAAGGTAACTCTGTCAGGGATTTGTTTTAAAAATTAAGGCCTTTTATCGACTTAGAATCTTGGTTAAGTTTTTTGTACCAGTCAACTTTTTGACTGAACTGGTTGAGATATTAAATTGAAAGTTGGAATACTTGTTTACCATCATGGTCCCAAACATGGGCAGGAGAAGGTAATTCTGTTAAGGATTTTATTTGAATTATGGCCCTTTTTGACTTAGAAACTCAGTTAAAATTTCATTCTTGTCCACTTGTTGACCTAACCATTTGAGATATTACTTTGGAAGTTGGAGTTCTTATGTGCCATCATGAGACCTATCTGTAAGCAAGAGAAGATAACTCTGTGAAAATGTTTCTTGATTTGTACTTAGAAATTCCTAGTTAAAGTCTTGTGTGCCCTTAACTGTCAAAGTTTTGTTTTATAGGCAAGCACTAAAAAAGTCGAGCGCGCTGTCCTTCTGACAGCTCTTGTTTATACGCCCGTTTGAAAAACGGGACGTATTATGGGAACGCCCCTGGCGGGCGGCGTCCAATTTTGTCCGGAGCATATCTCCTACATGTATGGAGGGATTTTAATAAAACTTCATAGAAATGTTCACCACTATGAGGAGCAGTGTCGTGCACATGAACCAGGTCTCTAGGTCAAAGGTCAAGGTCACACTTAGAGCTCATTGAAAAATGCATGTCCGGAGCAAAACTTCCACATGTATAGAGGGATTTCAATATTACTTGGCACAAATGTTCACCATTGTGAGGCGGAGTGTCGCGCGCAAGATTCAGGTCCTTGCAGCCAAGGTCAAGGTCACACATAGAGGTCAAAGTTCAGATAAAAATATGAAGATGTGTATATGGACCATTTAGTCATCATTTATTGAGGGATTGTAACACAAATGGCCATTATCAAGACTATGGCTGTGATACATATAATTTAGGTCAATATATACAAGGTCAAGGTCACTAAAGATAATGAAATATCCAGATTTTGTCCGGAGCATATCTCCTACACGCATGGAGGGATTTTAATGAAATTTCATAGAAATGTTCACCATTATGAGAAGCCATGTCACGCACATGAACTAGGTCTCTAGGTCAAAGGTCAGATCACACTTAGAGCTCATTGAAAAACGCTTGTCCGGAGCAAAACTTCCACATGCATAGAGGGATTTCAATATAACTTGGCACAAATGTTCACCATTGTGAGGCTGAGTGTCACGCACAAAATTCAGGTCCCTGCAGCCAAGGTCAAGGTCACACATAGAGGTCAAAGTTTAGATAAAAAATATGAAGATGTGTATAGGGACGATTTAATAATCATTTATTGAGAGATTGTAACACAAATGGTCATTATCATGACTACGGCTGTGACACATGTACTTTAGGTCAATATATGCAAGGTCAAGGTCACTAAAGATGGTGAAATATCCAGATTTTGTCTGGAGCATATCTCCTACATGTATGGAAGAATTTTTATAATACTTTATGGAAATGTTCACCATCATGATATGTATTGCTCCATGCATGATCCAGGTCTCCAGGTCAAAGGTCAAGGTCACACTTAGAGCTCATTGAAAAACGCTTGTCCGGAGCAAAACTTCTACATTCATAGGTGGATTTCAATATAACTTGGCACAAATGTTCACCATTGTGAGGCTGAGTGTTGCACGCAAAATTCAGATCCCTGCGACCAAAGTCAAGGTTACACATAGAGGTCAAAGTTCAGATAAAAATTTGAAGATGTGTATAGGGACCATTTAGTCATCATTTATTGATGGATTGTAGCACAAATGGTAACTATCATGACTACAGGTGTGACACATTTAATTTAGGTTAATATTTGCAAGGTCAAGGTCACTGGAGATGATTAAATATCCAGATGTTATCCGGAGCATATTTTCTACATGCATGGAGGAATTTTAATGTTACTTTATAGAATTGTTCACCACCATGAGACGTAGTGCCCTGCACATGAACCAAGTCTCTAGGTCAAAGGTGAAGGTCACAGTTAGAGCTCATAGAAAAACGCTTGTCTGGAGCAAAACTTCTACATGCATAGAGGGATTTCAATATAATTTGGCACAAATGTTCATCATTGTGAGGCTGAGTGCCGTGCATAAAATTCAGGTCCCTGCGACCAAGGTCAAGGTCACACATCCTGTGCATATCTTCCCTACTGATTTGTTTTAAGGTTCATTTAACAACACAGTGCCAAGAATAAAAACTTGCTTGCTAGATAACACTTATCCATAATGCCCCCATCTCCATCTAAAGCTTTCGTAAATGGGCCTATTTTGTGACTATGGCACCCTTGTTCACTTTGAAAATAGGGCCTAGTCTGGTTAACCTATTTCGGCAAGTTGGATTTATCTTAAATTTCTCCTAATTGCTTAATTTCTTTAATGATATCTTTCATATTTAGAAGGTGGATACCTTTGATGGTCCTCTAATTTTTTGTGGAGTAAGTGGTCTCTAGGGTCAAGGTCAAGGTCATTGGTTTAAAAAAAGAAATATTAACATTTTTGCTCATACAGCCTTTATATTTTATGTGATGTCTTAAGTTTAATACAAACATGCCAAGGGAGGTCCCTCTTCTTTGGGTGTAGTAAGGGGTCATTTGGGTCAAGGTCAATGTTACCAATGTCAAGGTCACCAATGCTAAAAATAGATTTTTACATTTTAACAGGTGTATTGACCTTATTCTATAGACAAATGTTATTTATAATTGATAGAAACATAAACTTTGATGGAGTTAGTGGTCAGTTGGGTCAAGGTCACCAGTGCTAAAAATAGATTTTCACACATTTGCTCATACAGCCTTTATTAAGTGACAGATATATTTTATATTTGGTAGGAAGATAACTTGCATGGTATTCATCCTTTTGATTGGGGTAGGGATCAGTGGGTCAAGGTCACTTGTGCTAAAAATAGATTTTTACACTTTTGCCCATACAGCTTTTATTTATTGACAGATGTATTTCATATTTGGTAGGAAGATAACTTGCATGGTATTCTTCCTTTGGATGGAGTAAGAGGTCAGTTGGGTCTAGGTCACCAGTGCTAAAAATAGATTTTTACACTTGCCCATACAGCCTTTATTTATTGACAGATGTATTTCATATTTGGTAGGAAGATAACTTACATGGTATTTTTCTTTTGGATAGAGTAAGGGGTCAGTTTGGTTAAGGTCACCAGTGCTCAAAATAGATTTTTACACTTTTGCCCATACAGCCTTTATTTAATGCCAGATGTATTTCATATTTGGTAGGAAGATAACTTGCATGAAGTTGAATATTTTTCAACTTCACAAGTCAGAGCAATGACTTGGCAACTTATATTTTACAATTACAAAATGCCATGACTTTGTCAAGCTATATAACTTGTGTTTACAATTTTTTGGCAATTTTTCTGTCCATAACTGAGTGAATGGGTAAACATTTTTTGAAATATTGCTACTGACAAGAATCTGAGCCGGGGGCATTTGTGTTTAACAAACATGTTCTTGTTTCTTTATTTAAAACTTTACTTATCACTTGGGTGTGAATAATTAGTTCAACATGTGTATTGAAATAAGGTATTGAAGAAAAAAATCTTGCACTAAGTATTATAATTGATTCATATAGTTACTTCCAGAAATCTGGATATTATTATTAATATAAGTCTTGTTGATAATTGCTAAAAATATGTTCATAATTAATAGCTTTTAAAATTTGGACATTATATTTAACAGATTGACAGATCAGCAGAAACAAACCAGAATAGATTGGGTGGTTGAAGAACTAAAGAAAAAGAATGTGATAGCTGAAGATGTTTTTGTTGATACAAGGTTGTTTGCAATGAGAAGTGCAGATCATGTAAGACAACTGTTTATATTGACCCTAACCATCCTAAATATCTTAAATGGACTTGTCCATCTTTCATTCTGGACAAAACCATTTAACCCCATCTGTCTAAGAGTTAAATATACCAGACATATTTATTATCATGTTAAGATAAATAAGTCATGTCTTAAAAAAAAAATTAAATAAGGCATATTTTTTAAGATGTCTAAAATGAACTAGACATGAAGAATAATGCATTGGCTGGTCATTTTATAATCATTTAATTTTATGTTTTGTTGAAGGTTGAAGTTATTATGTGAAGTGAAAAAAATGTTCAAGTCATTCTGTTTGAATTTTAAGTTTGTCACTCTATTTTCATTGATCATTATGTTTTTAAACCATAGTTCCAGGCTGTGCAAAGTAAATGAAATATAATGTATATGTAATTATTGTTAGGCAAGCCTGTAGTTTCAGTTTTGTAAAATAGAGATGTGTCAGATGTATGGTCATTATTCATGCTGGGTTTTACATGATAAACTTTTAGCAATTAACACTAAACCTGTTTTTTGTAGAATCATATATTAACCATTGTGTTTTAACATGTACTAAGTGTTCATTTGTAATCTCTACTAGGTGTTCAATCTGTTATCATTATAAGGTGTTCAATCTGTTATCTGTACTAGGTGTTCAATCTGTTATCTGTACTAGGTGTTCAATCTGTTATCTGTACTAGGTGTTCAATCTGTTATCTGTACTAGGTGTTCAATCTGTTATCTGTACTAGGTGTTCAATCTGTTATCGGTACAAGGTGTTCAATCTGTTATCTGTACTAGGTGTTCAATCTGTTATCTGTATTAGGTGTTCAATCTGTTATCTGTACTAGGTGTTCAATCTGTTATATCTACTAGGTGTTCAATCTGCTTTATAAACTAAGTGTTCAATCTGTTTTATATACTAGGTGTTCAATTTTTATCTGTACTAGGTGTTCAATCTGTTATCTCTACTAGGTGTTCAATCTGTTATTTGTACTAGGTGTTCAATCTGTTTTATATACTAGGTGTTCAATCTGTTTTATATACGAGTTGTTCAATCTGTTAAATATATACTAGGTATTCAATCTGTTATATCTACTAAGTGTTTAATTTGTAATCTTTACTAGGTGTTCAATCTGTTATCATTATTAGGTGATCAATCTATTATATATACTAGGTGTTCAATCTGTTTTATATGCTAGGTGTTCAATCTGTTAAATATATACTAGGTGTTCAATATGTTATATCTACTAGGTGTTCAATCTGTTTTATCTACTAGATGTTCAATCTGTTTTATCTACTAGGTGTTCAATCTGTTATCTCTACTAGGTGTTCAATCTGTTATCTCTACTAGGTGTTCAATCTGTTATATCTACTAGGTGTTCAATCTGTTAAATATATACTAGGTGTTCAATCTATTATATCTACTAAGTGTTTAATTTGTAATCTCTACTAGGTGTTCAATCTGTAATCATTATTAGGTGATCACTCTGTTATATATACTAGTTGTTCAATCTGTTATATCTACTAGGTGTTCAATCTGTTATATCTACTAGGTGTTCAATCGGTTTTATATATTAGGTGTTCAATCTGTTATATATACTAGTTGTTCAATCTGTTATATCTACTAGGTGTTCAATCTGTTATATCTACTAGGTGTTCTATCTGTTATCTGTATTATGTGTTCAATCTTTTATCTGTACTAGGTGTTCAATCTGTGATTTGTACTAGATGCTCAATCTATATGACTATGTGTTCAATCTGTGATTTGTACTAGATGCTCAATCTATACGACTATGTGTTCAATCTGTTATTTGTACTAGATGCTCAATATGTAATATGTACTAGGTATTCAACTATGTGTTCAATCTGTGATCTGTACTAGATGTTCATTCTGTTATTTGTTCCAGGTGTTCAATCTGTTATGGAGACTGATAAGCCATGACATATGGTTTGTGTGGGAGAGAGCAGAGTTTCTACAAGTAGATGATCCTGATATTCTTACACAAGTTCATTTCACTGTGAGTATCTTTTACTTTTTCAGTTTATCATATTTTGGGATAATTTCATGGTGGCATATTTTCGCCATTTTCCCCCAAACTCAAATTGGGCTTTTACCATTAGTTTCATTTATCCCCTCGCCAAAGGCTATAATTAGAAATCAATTGTCTACATAATAATGTGAATATGTGCGTCCCTCCCAATTTTGTCTCCAGAGCATTACTCGGAAATTACTGAGTGATTTTCTTCAAAATTTATACACCAACATAGCACATTGGTATGTAGACTAAGGTATAGGAATACACATCTTATCTTTTTTGTGGATAAATACTATGCATCTATATTTGGCGTCTAACATTGCCTTTAAGGTTAAAAAACCTTCACTATGGAGGTCATATCATATTCAATTTTATTGAACAGTTTTGACATTCATATTATCTCAATACATGGTTGCTGTAAATTTATGATTATCCAAGAAAGCAACTTTGCAGCATTATGAATTTATTATAAAACACCTTTGCTATGATACATGTATATGGCTGTGTATAACAGGAAAACTGCTATGTAACTACATGTATTGACTAGCTGGTTAGATCTTATAAGCTTACAATTATCCGAGAAAAAACCTCTTTTCATCTACAAATAGACATGTCGTTACTCTTAATTTGAAATATAAAAGTATCACTATTTTATAGTGGACACCAGAACCTCCCCCAAAGAAAAAGAAATCAAAAAGTAAACAGAAGAAATCATTGCTGTCAGGATTTGGTGCGTCTATAACAACAGATGAAAAACCGGAAAAACCCGACGATGTGAGTTATATCAATGATATTTGAGATAAATTTTCATTTAAATGAATTTATGATTACTCTAAACAAATAATTGATGAGTTCACAAGTTGACCATTTTTATACAGCAATCATTGATTGTGCAGGAACTTACCAAAAAAACCCAAAGAATTTTAAAAAAAGATTCTTGTTTTATGACTTAGCTTCTTATTATTAATTTTTTTCAGTTTTTTATATCTTTATTTTAACCCTTAACCTGTCTGATAAAGCTATATAATGTTGGTAGCTCAATTTTGGTAATTTGTTTATGAACTCTCAAGAAACTCAGATGGACTGTTCTAAAGTCATTGCAGGGCAAGTCGATTACAAAAATACAACAGGTTAAGGGTTAATATTTTAATGTATATATTTTAATAAGGAGAACACTACCTTTGACTTATAATCCTGGATAGCAAAGCAAATAGTTTAAACCAGTCAGTATATTTTACATATTGAGAGTAAACAAGTCTGCATCTTTTACCTATTGAGGGTAAACCAGTCAGTATTTTTAACCTATTGGGGTTAAACCAGTCTGTACCTTTTACCTATTGAGAGTAAACCAGTCTGTATCTTTTACCTATTGAGGGTAAGCCAGTCTGTATCTTTTACCTATTGAAGATTAACCAGTCTGTATCTTTTACATATTGAGAGTAAACCAGTCAGTATCTTTTATCCTATTCTTATAACACTTTAAGGATCAAAGTGTTCAGTACAGCCAGCCCTCTACATGTAGAGAAAGTGAAGTATTAGGTAATCAAAGTGATGATGACAACGATATAAGCTTCATCGATTTAGACATTGCCATAGTTTCCCCTATGTCTAATATGGATGAAAATGAAGTATTAGATGATAGTAGTGATGATGATGATTCTGACTATTCTTATGAGGTATTGTTCAGGTATATAAATGTTCATCGCTCATACTTTGTTTTCCTGAAAATGATGTGAATTATTTTTAATGACTGACTTTGTGTATGCTTGACTAATATGCTTTGAACAATTTCAGGCTTTGCAGTTATGTGCAGGTTGTTATAGTCAAATGTTTTTAGTAATTTTGGTGTGATTAAAATAGACCAGAGTTTCGTTTCTCATTGTTCTAACTTGTAATTCCTGGAAATATAGACACCTTTTTAGTTAAAATTAGTCTATTATCAATTATATATGTTGGGCATGTGGGCATTCCGCTGACAGAGGTACAGTAACCAGAATTATTTATGTCAGAAACTTGCAAAATATAATGATAATATAGGTATTTGTTTATTGTGAATGCTTTATGTTTCATGGCCCCCTGGCCAGCTTTACTTTCCCAAGATGTTGCTGACTTCAAGAATTCCTTTGTTGAATTTCAAATAAAATTTTATATAAATCTGGAAGCCTAAATTTTATACAAATTTGAATTCTTGAATATTTTAGACAAAAAGTAATAGAAGTTTTGATATCTGGTCTGACTGGGTAAGAATATCTCACTAAATGGTTAATTAATGATGTTTGAGTGGCAGGTAGCACACACTACGTTTTTATCAATGCATTGCACAGAACTTAATAGTTTCATTCAAGCTGAAATCTTTTGTAAATTACCATGTCAGCAATGATTGTATTACTGCACTGTGACAGCACATGTTGTCACATTGATTCTCATTGGATAATTAAGACATTATTACACAGCTGCTGCTGTTAATTTATATATATAAAGTTTTTTATTATATTTTATTGATGAATGATAAATTTGTTATAAAAATGTTGATTGGTTTCCAGAAAGTTGACAAACAGTTTATCCCTGTAGAGTCATATAACCTGTCCAAAAATGTTATTTCTAATTTTATAATGGCAACTGTAAGTGGTTTTGAAGATGTTTCTCTTTGATTGATTTGTCTTAAATTGACAACATTTTTTAGAAAAGAAGAGGTACTCAAATTTGTTGGAACTTTGGGGCAGGTGAGAGAAATCCTGTAAAACCGATGAACATAAATGTGAAAAGTTCTGCAGAAGAGGAATTGAAACAATCCAGTAGTCTAACATCTAGTGATCCCCAAGGTGAATCAGCCTGTTATATGGACAAGGATTACCTTGCTGAGAATCAGCTGGATACAGAGGCAAAAGAAGATATAAATGATTCACAAGATAATGAGATAAGCAGAGTATGTAATGAAGTTTCTGAGAGAGATATGACTAGGTATTCAGATGACATCAAATTCACCTATACTCAAAAAGATGACACCAATATTGAAAAAGATGACCTTGATACTCAAACAGATGATAACTCTGATCAGTCAGAACTTGATAGTAAACCATTGGTTAGTATATTTATGGTACCATTAAAAGATCCTGATGATTCAGATGAAGATATGACCACATTTTCTGGCAGGTATTCTCCTTGGCTTCTAGAAGAACTAGATTCTGACGAGGATGATACAGCAAATGATTCAGTTCTTGAAATTCTTCAAGAGAGAAGTAACTCAGCTGCTGCAGACAATACAGGTAACGTAATAGTTGATGATGACAGACCTGATAAAACAAAATTAGACTTGGACACTGAAATTAAAGCAAGACAGAATGCAATAGCTGAAGAGAAAGAATGTATTTCTATGATTAAAGTTGAAAATAACACACAATTTACAAAAGATGAACATTTGACAATGGAATTTAAACAGGTGAATAAAGAAGAATCCAAGAACAGCAATCCAAAAGAAACCTCACCTGATAATCATGTTGAAAACCATAAACCATCAAGAATGACTAAAACTAAATCACACAGAAAGGGTAAAAGATCCAGTTCCAGGGGAAGAAGGAACTCACTGAAAAAAATCACTGTGATGCATTTGGAGGAAAATAATTGTCAAAAAGAAACAAAAAGTGTTACATTTGAAGATGAGGAAGATTTAATATCTAATGTTAACAAAAACCATCAAGAAACAGTTGTTGAAGAAGTGAATCAAGCAGAGAGTGTATGATATTTGTTGGTTACTTGTTATTGGTTACTTGTTACTTGTTATTGGTTACTTGTTTAGAATAAATCTATGGTTGTTCAAATAAAATTCTATTTCTGTACAAAATTAGTTGTCTATAATTATTACGAGATGAACAACTTCTCTATATAGTTTTAATTGTTCTAAGTGAAATGTGAGAATCTTCTGAATGATTCATTTCCCAAAAAAGACATAAATAACATTTTATTTGGACAACGTTTAGAAATATTAATTAGAATGTTTCAGGCAGGGTTTTCTTTTATAATTTTTTTAATTGTATTTTGCATTAATTTTTTATTACTTTGTAAGGTATTTGGTTATGAACTCGTTTATCATTCCACTGATGTTTACACAAAAATGGGACAATAGGTCTGGACAAGAGCATTCAAATATGTATACAAAATTAGTTAACAGTATTGAAAACTAATTAAACTATGCATTCTGTAGCTATTAGGTGGATATGAATTTACTAACATGGCTAAAAGAAAAGTGACGTGAATGAAATGGGTTGTGTTACATGTAGTTCATAAATATGTTTTGTCTGGTCACAAATTTACTGTTGAAGTAGTTATACATATACAATGTATACATATTGTGTGCAATACTAGTGAAATGTTTTATTTGACCTTTATTCTCTTATCATAATCTGTTTTTTATAATTTCTAAAAGATGAATGCAATGGGTAAACATTATTTTAACATATAATTGGAGATAGTATATACATGTTATATAAAAGACGGATTTGCATGTGTAGTCTATAAGTTGTGTTGTAAGTTGTAGAATTTAACTTAGAAATAGGAATAATAAATAATTTACTTCACAGGTATGGTCAATGTATCATGCAGAATGTTGGAAAAGTTATCAAAAAATGGCAGTTTATTAGTCCCCTACAGGTTTACCGGAGGGGACTTTAGGTTTACCCTCCGTCCGTCTGTCTGTCCGTCTGTCCATCCGTCAGTCCGTCCATCCACAAAACTGAATCCCGCGATAACGCAAAAAGTACTGAAAATATTTTAATGAAACTTGATATATGGATAGATGGCAGTATGGAGATTATGCACGTCTTTTTCTTTTCTTCCTATGTTGAAAATTCTGGTTGCTATGGCAACAAATAGACTGAAAATATGACAAATTTTACACATAAACTGGATCCCGCGATAACGCAAAAAGTACTGAAAATATTTTTATGAAACTTGATATATGGATAGATGGCAGTATGGAGATTATGCACGTCTTTTTCTTTTCTTCCTATGTTGAAAATTCTGGTTGCTATGGCAACAAATAGACTGAATTTCAAGATTTCTTATTCTAGTTTTTAAGTTTTTTCACTATAAGTTCTTTATTTCTTAAGGTATTTTCTTCAAACTTTAAATATAAGTTGCTTGTCATCAACCACATCATATGTGACAAGGTTTACAACTCTAGTACAAAATTTATCAGAATTACCTCCCTTGAACTTAAAATTTTCATGAAAAAAACATTGTTTTTTTTAATAACTTCTTTTTCTGAATGTATCTACTTCAAACTTCATATAAATGTTTCTTATTGTCACTCAACATTTAGTGAGTGTTCAATACTCTAGCAAGACTATTTCCAGAAATTATGACCCCTTTTGAACTCTAGACTTTTTTTTGAGAAACTGGTAATTTTTACTCCAACTTCTTCAATCATGATAGGATTTTAAAAAATGTTATATTTTGATAACAGGATGTTTTAAAAATTAACTTTAGAGTGTCCTTCAGTCCGTCTGTCTGTACATAAAAACTGTTTTCTGTGATCACTTTTAAAGAACTTTTTCAACAAATTTACTTAAAATTGGAACCTAAGTGAATGGCCCTTCAGAATGTTGCTTGAGCTCTTACCGGTAGGGGACTTATGGATTGCTTGCAATACTATGATAATTGCTTGTTCATAAAAGATTTATGAGCTTAATTAAACACTTTCTGCATTCAAGATGAAGTTTACCCCATAACTAATGCCAGAATATATTATTACACTAATAATTCAAATACTTTTTGAACCAAACCATTGCAAATTATTACAAAACTAATAGCTAGAAATAACCTCAGCTGTTATTCATAATTTGTAGATCAAGAATGCATATTTAAAGCATATTAACACCACTTTGTTGTAACCTTATACTGTTTTGATGTTTATTGTATAGGTATTTGGAAGATATCTTCAAGTTACTTTAGATATACTATGGGATTTTTTTTACACTAGCATGCTTACATCAGGTAGTGTTTAAGAATTGTATGATTTTTTGTGTCGTATAGTTGTTTTTGGTGAAGTGTTAACAAAGAATTTTTTTAGTAGATCTAAATATATTTTGTTAATTAAGCAAATGTATTTCTTTTTATCACTTAAAGTTTTTTTTATTTGATTTGATGTGTTTTGATCTTTTTTTATCAATTTAAAAATAATTTAAACGAACTTTAATATCTGAAATAGTAATACCTCAATAATATAAACTTTTATAAAGTTTACAAATATGGCTTTTTATAAGTAAGTTTTTAGAAAAAATGGATTTGGTCACTTTCCACATTTGCTTATCTGAGCAAAAACTGGTGGAAAGTGAATTATTGTGGTTGCCTGATGTCAGTCATTTGTTGTTACCCACATTTCTCAAAAATATCTTCAAAGGTTCAAGTTTAATGATGAGTTGACATGTGTTGTTGCCTAACATTGACTTGTTAAACTCTACAAATCAATCATGACCACAGATTCAAAATGGCTTCACCCTAAGCATACATGTGAACTTTTTTCAATGATCAAGTGGGAAATTTTTTCTTCAAAAAGAGTGAGAGTAAACAAAGAAGGAAGTTCTGACATCAAAGATAGGGAGATTTCTTTAATTTGTGAAAATACCCCTTATTTTAAGAAAAATCTTTGAAAATATAGCTGCAGAAAGTGGGAGTGTTCCCCTAGAGTGGGAGAGTTCACATGTATGCCTAAGTCATTATAGTTACATCTGCTTTTAAAAGAAACTTTAAATCTTCTTTTCTGAAACTTAAAGCCCAAACTTTAGATATAGTAACAAACTTATAGCGATATTATATAAGCTTCATAGTGCACTTCCGCTCACAATAGAGTGATGTAGGCATTTTGCGCCTTTAACAATATATTTATCAAGTTGTAACTGTAAAAGTTTGCTTTTACCCCAGGATTAGATGGGAAAAAATACCTACATTTGCTGAGTTCCCAAATATTTCTATTCATATAAATATCTATATCATAAACATTGTAATATTTGTAAACAGGATGATGATGAGAAATGGATCAAGTTCCCTAACGCGGAGTATATGAAAGGTTTTAAGAAGAAACAGAGAAATCCGGATGATTACCCTCCACCTGAAGATTGTATTCTTGAAATGATCAATTACCAACTAAAGGTATACTTAGTTTCCTTGTTAATATGTACACTCATCAATATTGTTAAATTTAATTTTCATGCTTTGAAATTGGCACAGTCCGATGTTCAGTATTAGAATATTATAATTGAGGAATTGTAAGTGTGACAGCCTAGTCTGACCGATCTAGTTTGTGTGCTTTCATTTATGATAAAATTTAGGTAAAAAACATCAGGGTAAAAGTGTTGTTTATAATACATACATGTATATGTAGATAAATGAAATTTTACTGTTAAATTTCAGCATCATTTTGACTCCACCCGTCACCCTTCATCGGTAAAACTTTGTCATATACAAATTCTTTAATCTAGATAATGTTTTCCACAGGATAAATTTCACACAAATTCTGGTATCTTTGGAAAGATTTGGAAAGCTTTCTTTCTGCTTATTATCATGGTGAAACAAAATTTCAGCCAGGAACCTATACGCTATTTCATTATAGCATTTATTCAGAAAATTAGCACCCACATGTGGTACTTTAGAGTCAAATCTAATATATACATTTATTTATGGTTAATAAAAGGTTGACTCATTTAAAGTTTTAATAATTGTAGTATTTAAACACAGTGAGGCTGAAATTTTGTATTTATCTTGAATTGATTTGATGTGGAAATGGAAATGAGTTTTTTATGCTCTTTGATGTGAGGTAAATTCAATTTCCTTTCTTAAGCATATTCTTTTTTTAATGTGAGGATGCCATGTTAAAACTTTGCAAAACTCAATGCTCTCTCTTTTCTTGGGGAAAAGTGCCTGTAGAATGGGATAATTTTCACATTGATTCCTAATTTAGGAAGAAATTTTAGGCAATTGCTGTACATATATTCATTGTATATACTACTCATGAACTTTAGTATTGGATATTTTATGCTGCTATAAGTAAATTTCAAAACGATATTGTTACAGTTCTCTTTTTTTTGTCCTCTGATCTGCTTGATTTGATATCAATTTTTTAAGAATGCAAGTAAAAATTAAGCATTTAAACAAAAAATACGGGCACTGCTTTTGTACGGGAACTGCTCGCATGCCAGTAGAGATTGCAAAAATTATATAAGATGTGGGAATGCAGAAACATTTAAGACTAGGGCATGCAAAAAAATCACTTAATTTTATTCAGGGACATAGAATGTTAACTGATTTGATAAAATGATACATGAAATGGTCTTGAAAACTTTAAAAGTATGGTGATTATAAAGATATGTTTTGTGTTTTTCTTTTTGCAGTAGTGATTTCTTTTTTAAACATTTTCTCCAATGTGTTATTTTGTGATTCTCAGAATAGGTGTTGGATTTGGTAGAGGTTGCAATTTATTGGTGCTTTTAAATGAATGAATGATTACAACATCTTTACTTTTTTATTCCAGGATTATTCATATTCTTGCATGAATGCAAAGTAAGAATATATCTATAAAATAGTTATTAACTTATTAATAATACAAAACAAAAACAAAAAATTAAAATGTTTAATGATGTCGAGTGCGTGGAATTGTAAAAACTTGCATACATTCTGAATGAAATTGTTTCATCATTTGTTTATAGGTAACTCGAGATGGAAAAGGTTTATTTTGCTATGTAAGTATAGACAGTTAATAATTTGTAGTCAATTACTTACTATTTCCTTATAATCTATCTGTAGAGACCGATATTTATAAATATGAGATAATGAGATATAAAAATATACATTAAAAAAAGATATTTTATTAGAAAGTTTCTATTTTTGATTTGAACATCTAAATGTGTTTTTTTTAATATTGATTAACAGCTACAGCAGGATTGTTAGGGCGGTTTTGGGTTAATGCAATGTCCCTTTATCCTGTTGTTGTCTTGTTACTTGTAGATGTAGATTCAGGTAGTTCTTCACAGTAAAAATCAAAGCACTGTAGGCACTGATGTTGTTGGTCCTAAAATTAAAAAATAATAGTTCCAGGATTCATCTTCCTCTCCTTAATCATATAGCTTGTTAATAGTTGTACTTTGTTGTAGTGTTTTTGGTGACAATAAAATGTCTAATTGTTTCTGTTCAAATATTAATTAATACACTACAACAAGTGTAATACATATATTACATATATTATGGATTCTTCGTAAAAGCTCCATCAGAAAAGTAGAAACATAAATCATAACACTTGTTTTAAATACTTCTATTAATAAAATTGCAATATCAGGTGTTTTACTTGAAATACAATTGGTTGAATTTATGCATTCTGTAATATGTTTGTTTAAAAAAAGTGATTTTATCAAGTTAACTTTCATAAAATGTTTATCAATGTGAAGAGCTACCTCATAAGTTGTAAAAAGTTTGTATTTAGATACTAGAAAAAGATGAAGATCAATTTAAAATGGAAAGAAATAATAATAATGACCGAGTTACATAATTATTTTGACATGGTTTCAAGTTTAAACTGTTTGTGTGAAATGAGGTCAAATGTTTATGTGAAGTGATTTTTTCTTAGTGGCTCAGGTTATATAAGCTATCGAATGTTTTTATGGGAAATTTAAAGTACTGCAAAATGGCTTTTATTGATAACATTAAAATAATAAATGTTACAAACATAAGTAGTATTATAATATCTATGTTTTGGGTTCTAAAAGGACATTATGTCAACTCTAAACCATGTCATTCTTTGTCAATCAATGATGCATACAGATTGACAGAGTTAACAGTTAACCTTACACTCCTGGGTTTTTGCATGCTGGTACTAATACATGTGTGTGTTCTTCTTGTTAGAGTATAGATGATTTTGTAGACAGCCGAGTTTTATGTGCCTTAGTGAATTCCTTCGTGCCAAATACCTTCACTGCCGACCTCTTGCTTAATGACAGGTACAGTACCTTTCTTGTCTTTACAGTCCTTTGGTGTCTTGCTCCACAATATATTACCCTGGTCCCAAGTTGTTTGGTGATTTGTTCCAGCGTATATCACCTGTTGCATGAAAGGGTGTAAAATCATTATATATATTTAACAAGAATAGGTTTTATTTGCATATGATTTTGTGCTTCTTGAATTGTAATACTATGCTTCTGTTTAGGTTGAAACTGACAAGATGTGATCAGAATAATTATTTTGAAAGTGAAGGATTAAATATAGTGAACGGTCATTAGGTTGTCAGTGTGCTGTATGGTTTATGTCATGTCTGCTACTCTACTGACCTAAATATATTTATACAAAATGTAATTACAGATGGACAATAAACTTGGCCTTGAAAACTGCAGAGAAAATGTTTTATGCTGAGACCCCATTTGCTGCTGAAGATCTTGTTGAGGTAAGGTTTGAAGATATTATAATAACCTCTAGTTTTAGCAAATTAAAACAGTATTTTATTCTGAGAAAGAACACTTTTTCTTTGGTGTGAAATATAAAACAAAAAGATAGGTTTTAAATTTGATGTGACAACAAAATTGAAAACTGAATTCTAATTCACAATAGGTCACCATGATTAGTAAAATATTTATAAAAAAGACAAATTTTGAATAATGAGCTACTTGTATTTCTTAAAGTAAAGAACAGGTCAGGTGGTCTAGGCATAGTGTGAGATATTGGATATTGTGACTGTTATTCTCTGCACACTGTAACTACCGTATCTTGCAGTATTTAACTTTGTATTTTTTATTTCAGGCTGAACCTATGGCAGTTTGTGCATATTTTGCATTTTTCCTCATGGTGGCGTACAGATATAGGCAGACTACAGCAGTGGTCAACCGTGTTGTATGTATACTTTAACATCATTCTATTATTATCACAAGGTCAGCTTGATTAACATAGGAAATGAAAGCCGTAGGTCTATAGACATTTAAGTTGAGAGTTTATATACCTTATATTTTTCTCTGGGTCTGGATAAGATAAGCTAATTTCAGGTGAGCAATATTTAGGTGATGTTGTTTTGTGTTTGTTTTTGAATAATTTGTGAAATTGTTTTTTCATTTACAAATTTCAGGCGGTATATCTCATTTTTTAAATCCTATGACTATATGTATTTCAGGATTTTATAAACATGTTGATACGTGAGTGTAATCATGAACTGGAGAAGTTTCCACCAATTATCTCTAACATGCAGGAGTTACAGCGTAGGAAAGATATAAAACAACAATTAGACAGACATAGACAAGGTAATTATATTGTGTTACTGGTAGAATATAGCATAGCATTTAGCTAGATTGTGGTTGAAATATTCATATATAATACCAATATTGAAATAATTGGTAACATGAAGATTCTGACATACTGTCACCTAAGTGCAGTAACAGGTTAAGTCCTTCTGAATTTTAAAGGAGTTAACCAGTTATTATTGCACAAAGGTGATGATATGTAACATTGATTTTTATTGGACAACCTTGATGTTTATATTATAGATATATAAGGTAACTGCAGAAAAATTTATACTATAACAGCAATTTTAACGTGTAATTTAAGAGTTTTGATATTTTATATGGTAGTCTGACATACAACTCTCATCAAGCAGATCTTGTCTTACAACATTTACATTGGGTCCATTTCACCTGACATAAATTGTTTCGAATTCTAAAGTATGAGACATTATGATGAGAAAAAATTAAAACAAATTGTTATGCTTGATGACATAATTTCAGCTATTGAGAATCTGGAGAAGAAATATGACGTGGATTTCTGTAGGAAGTGGGTACAGCATGTGGAACATGTGCAAAATGAGGTAATTATTATATAGATCTACAAAAATGCTTTTCTAAATCAACAGTTTTTTTAATCATTTTTCCTTTAAACATATTTAAAGCTTGATATTTAATACACAGTGCAGTAACTTGACTAAATGCTAAAATGGATTTGCTTGTTAAGAAAATAGAACTCAATAAAATAAAATATCCCATAAATATAAGGAGTGATAGTCAGTATGTACTAAATTATACTGATCTGGCTTCAAATTTTAATAATCTATATTTCTCCTAACTGGTAAATGATGTAACTATTGGTATAACATCCATATTTTACATGCATACTTACAGACAATCTACAGGTATTTTCTGGCATGATCTTTAAATTACTTCATAAAGTGAATACTAAGAGAGGGTAGGAGTCTAATTTTGATATTTATAACTGAAAACTTTATTTGCTGACTTGTATATTCTTTACTGTGTTTGATATCTGTTAAAAAGAAGCTACAGTTGTATATTCAAAAAAAGTGTTGATATTTTGATTTCACTGCTAGTCTAGGTACAGATAATGTTTACTAATATTGAAATGTCATTCGTGATATACAGATAGGAGTTGATTTTATTTTAGTTGAGACGAGAAATCAGAGACAAGATGCGTGAGAGATTTGAAACTGTTGAAGTACCCAGAAATATCACAATCAATGACTTCTGTCTAGCTGCTGTAATCAATCTGGTACGTTATTTGAAATAATACATTACACATATTCACTATTATAATGCTCAACCCTTTTAAGAAAAAAGTAGTTTGACTTTGTTTTATTACAAAAGTAATTCAGTAAAGAAGCATAAAAAATACAGATGCTTATACAACTTTCTGTGAGGAATGAATCTATTGTATTCATTTTTTTCAACTTAGATTTTTAGACTTTGAATCATAGTATTGTTCCTTTTCAAATTTTCCATCCTATGAAGCAGTGTTGTTTTAATTAAAGAACAATGTTTTCTTCTCTCATTGTAGAGTTTGAGTAATGGATGTGGGTTTTACCTCTCAACTGCGAAGGAAAACTTGAGTGAGGGTCGTAGATTAGTTCTTAGAAGGAAAGAGAATGGAGAATTTATTGAAGACTTCACAAACAAATCAAAAAGTAAAAATTTTAATAATCCAGTCATGTACCAGTTAATATTGTTTATAGCATGATAGTTGTCAGTGGTTATAAGTATAATAGATTCAATTTTAATCTACCTTAATTTATCCTACCTAGCATTTGTTATAAGACCAAAGGCTGTGTTTATGTTTTGATGTTTTAGCCCTGAACTTGCTAATTTCTTAAATAGACATGGAACTGTCCATGATCAGTTTTGGGGATATCAAGATGAAAATATAAATTTAGTCAGACTATGGTCAGGCTGCACAGCCTAGCTCTATAGTGGCAATGAAACCTAGTCACTTCTAGTATTAGGGTAGGACTAGAACTAAACTGTCATTTAACTGTGATACACAGTTTAGAAGGAGACACCTACAAGTCCAAGGTTTTTCAGTTTTAGTTGATATTTTCACTGTTTGTGTGACTTTGTATAAATGTACTGTCACAGAATAAGATATGTGATGAAAACATTAAAATATTTCAGCGAGTATAAAGGATGCTTTACACATTCATGAAATACCTGGTCAAGTGTTGGAGGTCAACCCTGAAGATTACCCAGACTTTGAGGTTTGTATTTATGTTAATGTGAGAAGGATTTATAGTGAAAACGTGAACAGTTAGTTAAGCTGTCACATTTTAGTTCAAATTAATAATTTGACAATGATTTGCCTATTATATAATTGATTATAGATATAGGCCAATGCCTTTTCCATTCTTGACATTATTTAATACTGATAATGTATTGAAGATATGTTAACATTTTTGGTTTCTCACAGTGATTTGCTTTGATGACTTCTGTTTTCATGCATTTGAGAGTAATTTAGATTAATTTAAGTTAATGTTACATATCTTTATCTACATGAGTTTTTAGATTTTTGTTAATTCATAGTTGTTTGAAATTTCTGCTTTTGTCATTTTATTTGAGGCTACCAAACATTGTCACATCAATCATTCCCGACAACCTTATGCATTTTTCACCAATATAATGACAAATTTTTGAAACTGTTTCAGTGACTTGTTATAAATTCTTTCTCTTTAGATTTCTTATCAATTTATTTTCAGTTTTACTTTGAGGCACAGAGCCGGAACAAACAGCTGAAAACGGGAAGTTTCTTCTTGTATCAGGTGTTCCCCGGCAACACATCTACCTGGCAACGGCTGTTTATCAAAAGTGCACGAGATTGCGAGTACGAGACTGTAGAAAAAATGATTGGGTTCTTCCGAGAAGATTCTAGTTTCATCAACTGCCGAGAACCAAAAACTGGCAATACTGCACTGCATTTAGCTTGTAGAATGGGACATTTTGTAAGTTAGATATATTGATGATTAAGTCTGAATATTTTGCTATAAATTCTAATTATGGTAGTTACTGTAAAAAGGGTTTGTCTCATTCATTTTTTTTCTAGACTTTTTAAAGAATAAGGAGAGCTATTGTACTCTCCCAAGGCATCAACATCACATCACACATTGGTAAAGTTTTTGTCTACAAGTTAGTATTTCCAAAACTACTAAAGGGAAGTTGTTGAAACTTCACACACCCATTTTCTGTGATTATCTCACATGATGTGTATGAGTCTTATAATTGAGTTAAGTTTTTACCGAGTTCTGACCCGTTTCTTAATGTCTTTGTGACAGAGTTATGCCCCTTTTCTTTGTCAAGCACTGAGAATTTTTTAGCCCACTGCCTTACAGACAGCTTTTGTTTCAATACTGATATTTCACATAATAAAAATAAAGTTTTATCATTTATGTATCATATTTTCAGGATATAGTCCGGTTGCTTCTAGAGAACGGAGCAAACTTTGATATCAAGAATAACTTCCGATGTGCACCTATCAACTTGGCTATAGAGTCATTACAGAGGAAAATATGTCATGTATGAATACAACATTTTACTAGAAAAATAGCATTTTAGTATCTATAATCTGGTTCTTTGAATATGAGCAGGACCACCTATGTAATTCATTCTTTTTTCCAGTGAATCAAAGTACAAATATAGAATATTGAAAGAAATTTGACCCTTTTTAAACTAACTCAGGCTTGCATTCTGATTCAGAATTCTTCTGTGGTATTTCTTTGTGTGTCAAAATTATTTATGTGCCATTTTTATGCAAAATATATATTGTAGAATAGATTATATTTAGAAAATAGATATCAATTTTGAGTGCATTGTTGTATAATTGTTGTACATTTTCAAAAGTACAAGAATAAAATCAAAAACAGATTTATGTAGATATGTGTCTACTTATTAAGCATATGTTGCTGCCTACAATAGTAATGTATTTCTGATTTATCATATTATTTATTGCAGTATTTGATAGAATGGGGATGTGATGTTCACAGTAAAAATGTAAAAGGACAAACAGTTCTAGAGACAATAAAAAATGATGACTTTAAAAGAAATCTCATGGGTATGATAAATTGAATAAATATTTGATAGTAAAATTGATAAAAGAAAAAAGAATGATATATTGTAATATAGCTGGTATGTCAATAAGTGCTTGTATAGAAAAACTTTTAAAAGTATTCTACTCTAATTTAATACTCCCTGGAATAGTCTGGAATGTTTTCTGAAGTCAAAATAAATTGTGAGGGAATTAGCTGAATTTGCCTACTTAAATAACATTCTTACCAATTTAATAAAGGTTATATGAATATTTATAATTCTGCATGTTTGTAACATCATTTTTCATTGGATAATCGTGACGTTTATATAGTTTTATATACACGGCTGCTGTCGATTCATGAAGAAATCTTACTTTTTTCTCTAAAAATGTTGCTTGCTGTATTATAAATTCGTTATAAAGATTGTTGACAGGTTATATGGCCGTATATAAACGGCTGTTTGCAATATAACCCACGCCTAACGGCTGGGGTGATATTTACAAAAAGCCGTTTATACAGGGACATATAACCTGTCAACGATCTTTAAAACTAATAATATGCAATAGCGGAAAGATGACCACGCGCAATTGTTGAATATGTGTGACTGGGGTGGGGGGTGCAATGTAAAATCAGCTTAACACAGTGATAGCCCTCGTAGTTTTATAATCAAAACATAATTGACCAAGCCATAAATAGTTATTTGCTTTTTCAGAGTTATATGACTTTTATTCTGACTGTGTACCAAAGATAATGGGTGGAGATATGAATTTACTGGATCAGGTGGTAGCAGATCATGCCTCAGGTGCTCAAGAATTTTGCTGTCTCAGGAGTAGGTGGGTATTCAAGTAGTAAAATAAAGTTTTACCACAAAAGCTAACAACAGTGGCCTTAGTTGTAGGACATTAACGTCCTAGATTCTTGTTTTATTGAAGAAGTTGCTTCATTTCACCTTGGTGTGAATAAATACATGAACCTGAGATGGTGCAATTATATTGTTGGCACCAAAATATAGCTGCCATAAACTCAATTAAAAAACTCTGCAGGAAGGTAATAGAACAAAGACATTTCATATATTTGCAGATATCTCATTTAGAGGTAATATATAACATAATGATTGTCCAATGAAAATTGATGTTGCAAAAGGGCAGCATTATGAACCTTTATATTATTAAGTCCAGACCATTCTTTTAATTAAATAAGCATTTTCTTTGTGCACAGCCTTTCACTTTGAAAATATGAAAAGTAATGATTAGCTAATATAAACACATTTTAAGGTGACAACAGACACTTTCTGTGGTACTCACATAAATGTCATTTAAACCAACTTATTTTGGTAATAATTGTTATATATTTAATCTTTGTGCATTAAATGTCGCTGATCATCATAAAAAATAACATATTTGAAAAAATGCCTTTGTAAATGATTGATTTTTAATAAAAATCCTAAAATTTTAAATCGTCATATCAAAGTCATTTTTTATTTTTTTGTTATCAAACTTTTGGAAAATAAACATACTTATAATATCTGGGGAACTGTGTCTCAATTTTTTTCTATCTTTTCTCAAAAAAATATTACGTAACGTCAAACAATTTATGCGACTTTTTACACCATACATATTACGTAATTAAAGATAATTAAGTCGCTGATTGAGCAAACAAAAATCCCTGACACGGTTCCCTCCGTAAATGAATTCCCTTTCATGTGCTTTAAACCGCATGTTAATTGCTTTATTATTAAAAAAGTTATGCCGATTCAAAGTTAGTCCGACCCGCATCAAACGAAGTGTCATAAATCGGCTGTTCTCTCTCGGACCCCTACGTTTCACGCTAAATAATTGCATAATACACAAATATCGCACCAGAGAGGGTCACAGGTTGCGGTAACATACTCTAACAACATTTTATGACCAAGTGACATCTGACCAATTAAAAAGTTGCTGATTAATATCAGTTTATAACAGAAATTTCTTCAAATCTTAACGTGATTTACTGTCCGTCTGGTTTAAGTCGCAGATGCCACGTGACTTTCGGTAAAAATTGAGGCACTCGGTGGGGGGAAATGGAACGTATTTGCGCACCGCTAGCGGGGTATTTAATTGTTTCACTTTTGAAGTTTATTATTATTATCATCAGCATTATTATTATATTATACCAGTGTCACTCTGTCTGTGTATTCGTGTGTGAAATTCCGTTAAAATATGAATTAAAATAACAAAAAACGGAGCTTCTGACGGTATTTTAAAGGCCATGGTAGATGTACAAATAAGAACGGGATATTATATATTTTTTCCTCCAAATTGATATAAATGCTTCACATATTTTAATAGAAATAAAAGGTATCACTCGATCATTATGATCTGACCTTCTTGACTTCTATTATCATGAAAATCATCTATGCACGGTATAGATATCCAGTTTCTACTGGGATATACAATAAATTCCATACTTTGTCCCAGGTTTATTAGAACTGTGTTCGATTTACTGGCGAACAATTTATTCAAAGCATTCACTGATAATATATATTAATATCTTTTTTTATTGATTCATAGAGAAATAATCATCCTTAAACAATCTAAAATGGTTTAGAAATTTGTCAGGGACACCTTACCACAAGTCATATAGGCGTTCACATAAAAAATGTTGTCTGTTTTTGTTGTTGTTTTACTTGACATTGTTAGAAAACGAGGTTGAATGTAAAGCAAGCCGTTGAATCCGTACAAAAGTCCATAAACTCAATGTAATATCTATCAGATTAACGGGACAGACAAATTATTTTCACACATTATGGATATTTTAGCAACTATATTTTTAATCAACCCCGTGGTCGTGCGATTTGCCGCTATGCTTAATTATTTATGTTTCATACATTATGTTACGTACATTGGCCGACAATTTCTTATTTTATAAAAAATGCCAAATAAAAGGTAGACGATATTCATAAAAGATGTACGGTATTTGTAAGATACATGAATTACGAGTATATATGGAACTACCGATTTCCCTCATTGATGCCTCAACAGGGGGCGGAGCGTTATCGATAATTGACAGGTTACGCGAATAGCAGATAAAAATGGTACAGGTACCGTTTTAAAACGTTTAAAAACACATTTTTTGGACTAACTGCTTCCAAAATTAAATCACGAATGTGTTCAGAAAAGGTTGATATATCTACTAAGCAAAAAATCTCATTTTAGGTATTTTCAGTGATAATTGACTCCGTTGTCACCTTAACTACATGTGGTCTTTATTAAGGGGATATTAGAAAGCAAGTTTGAATGTGGTACATAATTCTCTCATTACAGAGTTATCAATGGTAGTACGTTGTTACACACGGCAGCATATTACGGACATATTCCTGCCATCAAGGAACTACTGTCACTACGTGTTGATATTAATATTAGAGATTATAAAGGAGCTACACCATTGCATAGAGCAAAAAGTCCAGAAATCATGGAGGTAAAGGATTTCAGTTATATAGAGTACCAATATTTATTTTATTTTATAGGTATAAATAAAAACTATGAAATTATTGTTACTTTTAGGGTTCAAAAACAGCTATATTTAGCATAGAAATAGATTTTATAGAATTCATGACAGAAAATTTTTGGGAGACCATGTTGTCCATCCATCTGTCAGCATTCAGCTTGTCTGGCTTTCACAGGTCAAACTGCTGGCTGGATTTCAATGAAACGTCACAGGAATGATCAGTACCATCCCTAGTTAGTCCTATCCTTTTAATCCATATTTTTGCATTGTTTAGGTAACATTGTAGTTAAATATTCATTAATGAATATTTCCCATTGAAATGTCATCTGACTTACAGTTTTTTGTTAACATTTTTCAGCTTCTTCTGGAAGCTGGGGCACATGTGAATGCTGAAGATTCAGAGAGTAACACTCCACTGCACGTGAAATGTTATGGTGAAACAGGAAAGCCATCAGATATTGAATGTATCCAGATGTTACTTAACAAAAATGTCAGCCTTAATATCAGGAATAGCAGGGTAATATATTGACCTGTACTTCACATTAGTGTTGTCATCCCATTTTTTAGCTTAACTATTCAGATAAAAGTTTGGCTGTCATAGTCACCTGGGCGTTAGCATAACACTGTGGTTAAAATTTTAAGTGCAACTTCTTGCAAATCATATCTCATCAACCACTAAAGATATTTGCTTGTACTTTCACACTTATTTAAAATCATTATAGGACGTCACTATCCAAAGCCAATTTATCTAGCATTGTTTTTGACAGAACTATGGCCCGGCCCTTTATGAACTTTGTTAAAGTTTTACATCCAACATCAATCTTAAAAACAACTGACAGAATTCACTTGAAACTGAAAATACTGAATTCAACATTTGTTTTATGTATTGGGTCTTAATATCCATTTGTTAGTGGGAGGTAATTCGGTAATAGTATTGTTAAGTTGGAACACAGTTCTATTGATAATGTTACAGAACATCATGTTTTTGTTGAATTTATCAGCAGACGTGAAAGAAGAGTTAAGTAAAAAAAACTTTAGTATATCATCTGTTACCCGGACATTTTACATATTTCAGGGGTTGATGCCGATTCATTGCTGTGTAATGCAAGGTCGTATAGATGTGATGCAACTGTTAATGAACCATGACAAAAATAACGCCATAGCAACAGCATTGAGTAAAGAAAATGACAAGAAACCTCCAAGCCTCTTACATCTTGCCTTAGCCAATGATTTCCCTGACTGTGCTGAATGGTAAATTTACATTTTAATCTTTTAACTTTCTTCTGCTCCTCTTCTTTGAGGGAAGTGGTGGCTTGTGGTAAGTATCTGCCGCACAACCTTTTGGTCATGGGTTTGATGCCTTACTTGGGTCACCACCATGTTTCATCCTGTGATACCAGTGCTGGTTAGTTCCAGGAAGCAGACTCGAAAGTGGTTCAGATAGATAAGCTACAAGCTTCCTCACAAATTCCTAATAAAGTTTTAATAGTGTTTAAACTAAACTTTTAACTAAAAAATAAACTTTTTTCCTATGAAACTTTTTGCGTTTTGCCTAAAATTCAACTTTTTGCATATAAAGCTTATTTCCTTATTATAGTATGATAATTTTGTGGTTATTCTATATCTATACAGGTTACTGGCCAATGGTTTCCAGTTTAAGGAGAAAGAACAGGATATTTTGATGAGAAGAATTTTAACTGAACAAATTAAGTTGTAAGTTTAATATGAAACATTATTCAAGACTACATATAGGAAAAATACTGATTATATAATATACCGATACACATTCATACCAATGGTCAATGTTGGATAAAGCTTTTTTTTTATTTACCAAAAGTTACATGTTTAAATTTTATGTACATGTACTGTTATTAAATTTTGTCACAGTAAGAATTAAACATCCTGACAAATGCAAAATTTTCAGGAAATAAATCACTGCTGTTTAAATACTTGCATGTAAGGAGAAAATATCTTTTTTCATTCTTACAAACTGGTTAAAAGAGAATTGGTAAAAATATGTTGAACAACATTGAGCGGAGGAGTAATATTCCTGACGACTTTCATGTTTTTTTTTGTTACCAAATGATATAAGTATTGCTAGAGGAATGGATAAAATATCTATGAATATTTTAATTACAGAGAGAAAAGAGCTGAGGCTATCAAGTTTTTGTTAGACAACGGAGCTGAACCAAGTCCAAAATATCCTGGTGGAAATTCGTAAGTTACTCAATTTTCTTCTTTTGTTAGAAGCCTATTGTTTCTTTTGCCAGAGGTCAATTTTTACCTTTGCCAGAGGTCAGTTGTTAGTTTTGCCAGTAGTCATTGTTTTCTTATCAATTTATTGTTGTCAGAAGTCAGTTGTTAAGTTAAAGAACTATGTTAGCATTGTCAGAAGTTAATTATTATCTCTCATGTTTTATTATAGAGCGCTACATTATGCAGCTAGTTTGTCAGGGACTAGTGATGTTCTAGAACTGTTAGTAATGTACAAGGCAGAGATTGATGCAGTCAATGAGGATGGCTGTACTCCACTCTTCTTTGCTACCCAGTCTAACAACAAATTTGCTGCTTGTGTATTGATAGAACAGGGAGCCAATGTCAGACAAAAAAATACACAAGGTATAAATATATATATAATACATGTATATACCTCCACATATTTTGCATATTGACTGCTTTAAGTCTGTACACAAATATTACCATACAGAAAAAAAAATTGTATTGTTTACAACCTGAATGCCCAAGATGACATGTATTTAAAATTGATGGAAGTTCCATCCGAAATTGCAGCAAAAATACACACCATTTAAAATGAAAACTTTATGAAGGAGAGTGTATGACATTACAGTGTAGAAATTAGTTTAACCCTCTCCCCCATGAGCATATTGTGAAAAATGGCCATTTTCACTGAAAAGCCTCCTCTTACAAGTTCAAACTGCTATGAAACTATGAAAAATGCTTCAATACTAATCAAACTTGGCACAAATGTTGACTGGACCATTGCCTTTGTAACGACATGCTCAGTCTTAAATTTCCTGTTACCATGGCAACGAGGGGACATCTCAAAATTGCCAAAAATCACTATTTTGCCTCGATATTTTCCATCAAAATTTATTTCAAAGTGCTGCAACTTCTCAAGGGTTTGAGATAGAGTCAAAGGCTTTTCAGCGTTGGTTACACGTTACCTTATGATCGACCTGGGGTAATTTTAAGCCTCTCACAAGTCCAAAATTTTCTTGGCGATGAGGGGGACTCCGCCCCCCCTTCAAACCCCCCAAACAAAAGGGGGAACATCCCCCTTCTGGCAACCCCTTGATGTATCTTTTGGATGGGGGGCCGCGCCGAAAAAGTGCTCACTTTTTTTAGCAACATTTCTCAAACAAAAACATGTGTTTGGGACCCGAATAGGACATTTTTTCACTATTTCAGGCCTAAAAAAATGAGGGGGGGGGGGTCGAAAGTGCGTTGTTTCGCGTATATATGTGGTAAAGGGTTAAACGAATTAACATAATTGAAAAAAGTATGTTAATTTTTAAAAAAAATTTTTTAAAGAATAGTCTCATTTTGTTTCTTTAACTAAAGGATAAAATTATATTTCTCTTGTGAACACCAGCTGTTTCATATTTGTTTGACACTAGGTCACTCTGAAAATACTATGTCTGATGTTGTCATGGTGATGTTTCTCGGGGTCTGTTGAATTTGTATTACAGAATAAACCAGCTTTGAAACTGGAACAGTCCATTCAATGTTTAAGAGATTTCAGTATCAAAATGCAAAAATTGAGCTTCCAACAGTATAGGCTGGCTCGACTCTTTACTGGTGAAAACATTCTTATGACAGAAACACTAAAATATCCTCTCTATATCTCTCACTATTTTGACATTTTGTTATTTACAGGTCTCACAGCGTTTGACTACATTATAGATTTTGAGGATTGGATAGAGTGTGGGTATTTCAATGAAGAAGTAAAGGCAAGACTAAAAGGTAAAACATGGCTAATGAATATCTCATGTAGTTGACTTACTATTGTTAAAATAATTGATGTGACCAAGTGATTAATGCCAATGAGAATCAAATTACTGTACGGCGGGTGCTTCTGAACTAAACACCACAAACTTTTCGATAAGGAGTACAGAAGACTGCACTTTCAATGATTACAAGTTAATTCATATTCTTGACGCTGCCTTGTTTTTATATGCAATAATTACATAATAATTGTACAATTAAAATTGATGTTACACATGTGCAGTATCGTATACAAATCTTGTAGTTTTTTCACTGATATTCATTTCTTTATAGAAGATAAAATGTAAAAATGAGTCGAAAATATACATATTTGAATAGTATCTGTTTTAAACCCTTTATTATTTACCTGATATTTATATGATACCAATATTGAGAAAACGGACTTGAAATGATCACTTTACTTTTTAATACACATGTAATGATAAAACTGTTATATTTCTGGTAAAATTTTAACTTGTTTAAACTTTGTGAATTTTGTTAATCATATTATTTTTATTGTTTGTTTTCAGCATACAATTTGAAGCATGCCAGGGATTTGATCAGGGCTATATCAAAACGTGTTAAACCTGGCCCACTGCCAATGATAAGACATGATTTAATGAGTAAGTCGACGTTCTCCATGCAGGCGTCACATGGTACGACCCATTACAGAACCGGAACATCAATGTCACGTCACAAAATGTTACCTCCAGTTAGCGGCGGTGCAACTCCAAAATACCTGATGTTCTAACAGCTCAAAACTTGTGTGTTTGTATGTATATGTATATCTTCATAGATACAAATGATATATTTTTATAGATTATGTCACACTTAAGCAACATTACATTAAGGAAGTTGCGATCTTCCATATGCAATATTACAAGATTAGGTTTACATAAATTGAAAAGATGAAGACGTCTTATTAAGACTTTAAATTGAAGAATTGTGTACAGTTTTATATGTTTTAAGAATCCTTCACGAAAACCATTTTTAGTGAATCAAAACCTGGATTTGTATTCTACTTTAGTCTTGTTCATTTATAATCGTCATGTTTTGTATTTTTCATGCATGAAATGAGCTGTCTCTGAGGAATTTCATTTACACTTCATATGCGAATGCTTTATATGTTAACATATGTTGACAATTTGCCAGTCATAGTATATGTTAACATATTGTATGTGAGCACTTGATCTGTTAACACTTTATTTGTTGACACATATGATAACACAAATTTTAGTGTAACATGGTCACATATAAATAAATAAATAAATATTTGGTACTTTGTAAATCAGGAAACTTTTTATAACATGAAATATTTAATACATGTATGTAAATTTAGGGCACATTTATTCTTGTATATGTAGATATCAGTAGATATATACTATTGACAAACCAAGCTGTGAGGGTAGACCAGTACACCTGATATTGTTCTATATTGTTGCGACCAATATTCTCTGTCAAACAATTGGCTTGTAGTGATGCTCAACAGATTTTTGTCAATATTGTTTATACTTTGATCAAAAATTTCCCATTGTTTTCTTTAAGGATGTTCATGTTGTATTAACACTGACACAAATTTTTAAAATGTTTATACATGTATGTATAAAATAACAAACCCTAACTTGCACCTATGATGTTCATATATTTCTTGCACTTTCTAGTCGTACCTAGTACTAACATAGTTTTATTTACATTTGTGTGATTGTATATATATGTAAATAGGTATTTTTATAGATAAAGCATTAATATTTTCTTAAGTATTAAAAATGTTTATTTTTAGGTTTCTTTTATTTCTATGATCTTTCATAGTGCCAAAATGTTTAAATGTTATATATTATATATGTGTAGAAATATATATTACTCTTAAGTTTTACAATCTTTAAGTTTTGTTACAAAATGTTATGACTTTTTTATTTTTATTTATTTATCAGAAATGTTATTTAAAACTATTAAATATTTTTTAATGAAATTTCCATGAATGGCAGAGAGTAAATGTCTATGGTAGATTTCTCACAATTTAACTTTCATCAGCATATTGTCAAACTTTTTACTTCATTTCACAGTTTATGATAGAAAATTTGAAGAAAATAATATTTCCAAAATAAGTATGAGTAAAATTTTACTTCTTAAAATAATGTAATGCTTGCTGAAATTATGTACTTCTAATATATAATTCAGTGCATACATAACCTGGTTAAATTACCACTTCCCTGTCATCACTGTGGGTTCGAATTCTGACAGGGAATTTTGTGAGCAAGCTATCCTGCTAGCTTACAGAACTTTGGTGGTTCTAATCATTCTCCCATTCGTGCCTGAAGTAATGCATAGATGTTCTTCCTCCAGCAGTAAAGCTGGAATGTCGCACCATGATGACCTATATTGTGTTGGTTCGGCATAAAACCCAACAAAAATACCTGCTGAAATTATGTACTACAAATAATGAATTACCTACTGAACATGTACATCTTCTGAAATGATGTTATGTTATACATGCACTTTTTATTTATATACCTTGTTCTCTATGTATTAAAATTGTCTAACATGTTTACAATGAAACAGTCACATAGCTATTCTGAAGAAATTACAGAACATAAAAATATTATGGTCAGAGCATACAAAAAAAAATCGTTCAAACTTGCTTCTTGAGAGGTCTGTGAGACAAGTCTAATAAAATAAATATGTTTCAAAGTTTTACATTAGTCATACATGTTTTGTTTGACTGATATTTGTTACTTCATTTTGTTTTATATCAAAATATCTGCACAATTTTTTAATATAAAACAATATCTACTTCATAAAGGACTTTATTTATTGTTATTATCTTAGTTTTGTTTTCAATTGTTACACTTTTTCCATGACATGTTTCACCGATCATTCATGATAAAATAAAATATTTTAAAGTTATTATATTTATGTTATAATTTGTGTGTTCAAATAATATGTTGCTGAAACAACTGTTTTATAAAGTTTGAGATTGTTGAACCTAGTATACTGGATGTATGTCTCTATTTACGAATGGAAAATAAAGACACTGGGTGTTTGGGTGTTTGTTACAAGTAACTAATCAGTGATAGGTATTTGTTTACAGTGTAAAGTTACCAGTTTTAGTAGAACTGTAGATATACCAACTTCCAAATATTGATTAACGTTTTTTAAAAGTTTATTAAAGGGTGATATGAAAAAGGACACAAAACTGCCGTTATGAAGCTTAATATAATGATCATGGCCAATGTGCATGAAGATTACTAATTTTTTTGGACAGCTGTTTTACATGAAGTTGTGTCACACTTAGTGAAAGTTAAATACTTCTAAGAAAACCGGTTTAACTGTTATTTTGATAAAACATTTCTATCTGTATTTGATCCATATAATTATACAAGAGAACATTGCTAGAAGGCATTTATTGATAAAATAAAAAAGTAGAATATAAAAGTGCAGAAAATGAAGCATTGTATTGTCAACATGTAACATTTTTATAAGCTACAACATCCGATCCCCTTATAGTTGTGTATCGATAGTTTGATTTGACGAACTCGTAGTGGATTTGTCAAAGTCGGCATGCTTTCCGACCGTCGCTTTATTGTCATTGCCAACGTCGTGATTGCCTCCAACTTTCTCAGGGTCCGAATTTGATTTCATAAACGAGGGACAGAACGGAATGTATCTGAACAAACGGATTTTGTTAAAACGTTCCTGAACGAGTGGAAAGTCATATATTTCTAGCCCTGGTAAATCAGCAGAATTGTCTGAATTCTCGTTCCGCCATTTCTTTATTCCCCGCTCTTCATCTGTACCTAAAGTTAAAAAGAAATTAGTTTTGTATTGACATTGAGGACTTCTTTAAACTCAAGTTCAGCTTCTTTATGTGCAGAGGAAAGACGAAAGCAAATTTAGATTTTGCTATAAGATTTTGTTATGATTTTGATAAATACTTAAAAAGGTTGATTAAATTTTTAAAGATTGGTCAAGGAAACTGACAAATCACAACCCGTATCAACGTTATAATAAATAAGCCAAATCGGTTCTGAATTAAAGAACAAACAGCATAATGCACATCCGTTTGTTACGCAGGTCTCTCCGCCAAATAAGATAGACATATACGAAAAACCTAAAAGGCATATTATAGCACGGGGATCAAAACAGGGGTTATTTTTTCTTTTAAAAAAGTGATTTACCGGGTATTGTATTATCGAGGATAAAGCCCATGGTTCCACCTACAAACATGCTTGTGCTGAGTAGAACTGTCAACACCTGATCTGCTACGTCATTTCCTGTTATGTAAAGTAATATAACATATAAATATATATAAGAAAAACATTTTTGTTATCATTGTCTTGACTGTACGAAAATAAAATGCAATTATATATGTATTTACGTTATTTTTTTTATTATTTATGTATTATTTTTATCGGTTGGATTCATAACGACACGGACACATAAAAGGTCATATGGCGAGTTTCCAGTTTACTCGTTATAAATGACCTCAAGTGACCCTTTTTGCATTATTTCAGACACGAACTTGCAAAGTAGAATTACCAACCTTCCACCAGATTGCTAGATATATTCCTCACACATGAAAGAATCCAAAGTTCTTGAAGAGATTCGAACCACAGCGGTAGGGATGGGGTAATTCGATGTTGTAGGTGTTGACCACTCCTAGAAATTTTACAACTGGATATTTTTTTTCAAGTACCCAGTCAAACTGTTTTATGTACCTTGTCAACTTTTTTACTGTTTGAATGTCTTGACCTTCTCTTTAAATCAACACAAATCTATCTATTTCTAAGTTCTAAATCTGGAAATCGTTCAAAAATATTGATGGAAAGACATTTGTGGTAAGTTACGTACATGTATGTCTAATAAGTCTATATTTATAAAATTGTCATTATATTTTATCGTTATTCATTTCCAATCTTTTTTCTTTCTTCTTTATTTATTTCTCTCTTTTTATGGGGGGGTGGGGGGGGGGGGTGGGTGGGGTGGGGTGGGGGGCTTTTATGCACTAAAATATACCCATATATATCCGTCTTTGCGGATACATATATAACCTCACCTGTCTGGATAGCATCTCGATGTGAAGAAATCCAGTTAGGCATACTAAAACCAAAGAACAGTGACACACCGAGGACAAACAAATTTCTTGAAGAGTTTAAATCAACGTAATGTAAATTAGACAAACCAACAGATGTTATCATTCCTACAATAAAAATCAAGATTAATTTATCAGAGAAAAAGAATGTATTTCATCTTGCCAAAGAAGAACTAAATAACAAGTCTACATACATAAATAAAGCTGCACCAATGCAAATAATCAGCTCACAATTTACTAATTTAATATTTGTATATGTTGTAATATTAAATTCTAGGGTTTTTTCTTCTTGCTTTGCATTTGAAACGATTCATTTAAATTTTAAGGGATTTCAATCACAATTAAAGTTAGAAAGATGAGCTAGATTTTACCAACAGTGTAGGTTGGTCTGACTTTATACTTGCAGCAATGGCTAATCACTTTCGAGTCTAGGGTGTTAAATGTTAAGATTTTATGAATAATTTCTAATTCGCAGTAAAAAATAATCAACATCAAGTACAGATAATTTAGATAGTTATAACATATTCTAGGGCATACCAAATGTTATCATGAACATGCCGCCGACAACCGGGTCAGGCATCGTCGCAAAGAGAGCGCCGAACTTTCCCAGACATCCAAGAATAATCATAATGATACCTCCAACTTGAACTACCCGCCGACTTCCAACCTATCAAGTTAACAAAAGTCAAAATGGATACAAACTCTGCACAAGCAGATAGCGTATAAAATATCAATTAATACATGTTTTGAAAGGACCAATATACCCAAGAAATAATATTATTTTTATTTCTCAAAAACTTTTTATTAAGTATCTATCATGCTTTAAAACCATTATTTAAACGTTTTAAATCTCATGTTTGTCTTTTCTAATGAAGGACACATGTATTAGTTTCTGAGACGTAATGTGTCTATAAAGATACCAGAAGCTTATATGATAATATATAATCAGTTCAATGAAAACAAACGTTTTTCTTAACTTTCGAAATTTAGTCTTCTTCACAAAAATTACAAAACAAATATACGTTCATAAAACGCTACTTATTTCTTCCCGATAATATATATTATGTGTGCATAGTCAACAATCATTTGAAGCTTAGTTGAATAACCCTCGAGTCGTCTACTGGAAAACATTCGAGGACTCTCTAGTAGGGACCCTATAAATACTGAACCGAGTGATAGACAACTTAACGACTTGGCTTTCGCTCCACCTTATGAAATAAATGTGGGTTGTTTTTTTTATCTTGAAAACGGTTCTAACTATAGGATAGAAAAATCCCCTCTTTCATCATATGATAAAACGGATTTGTCATTGTTTTATTTTATCAGGTTTTACCTTCGTCAGGCCAATTATTCCAATGTTTGCACTGTATGAAGTTGTGCCGTTTCCTGTCCCCACAGCACCAGCTATCAAACAACCAATTCCTTCCATACCAATACCTCTATTTATAGCATGTGTTGGGGGCGGGGGAGCCCCGGAAATCCTTGCGCATGCGTAGTAATCTCCGACAGATTCTATTATGGAGGCTATTACAGCTGCGATTATTCCAAACACTCCTGCCGCACTAACAGTAGGCATTCCCCATTGTCCTAGTGTTTAAAGATTATTTTAGTGGGTTAAAAAGCTTAAAATAAAGTTTTAGCCCTTCATCTGCTGAATTTCCTATAAAGGATTTGCCCTGCAATGATCTAGTTGAAATTAAACGGATTCAATGTCAAAATACATCTACATGTAATAATGAGCCACAACAGTATCAAGTCTGGTCAGATTGCAAGATGTGGAAGCTGGTCTGGCTCTATACTGGTGGCTAGACCAATCACTTTTTGTGCCAGCATGTTTAGGGTCAATCAGTACGTTTCTAAATCATGTACAGGAATTATCATTATATCTGATTATATCGGCAGTCATATAAAATGTTTACCTGGATAAGGGAAACGAAACCATTCAGACTGCCGTAGAACATATATTTTTGTATCTGTTCGTGCGTTATAACCCCACCCTTCGGGATTGTC